TGATTGGTGGTGGAGTGGTGTCATTGTCCCTCTGTCATTGCTATCAGGCAGTGGTTTTACTTGCCAGGCATAGACTGAGAACAGTTGGTTACTTGGCATTTTGAAGATAACATCATTGAGAACCATATATTAAATCAATATTAAAGACCTATTCGATGCCCGGCATTGTGCTAAGTCCAAGAGGCACACAGTTCTTTAAAATCCTCATGTTGATTAAGGACAGGCAGTAAATCGAGAAAAAGTACAATTTATTGTAAGTAGTTGGACAGAAATAATCAGCGAGCTGTATAGCAAGTAACGGGAAGACCTATTTTAGTTAGAGATCCTTCTCAGGTGCTGACATTTAAACCTGATTTCTACAGGGTATGAGTATGCTCACTCTGCCAAGGGAAAGGAGTATCAGAGTCATGAACAGCAAGTGCAAGGCCTGAGGCAGGTGAGAACTGACAGGCCCTGTGACAGGAGCATCCTGAGTAAGTGGGGAGGGCAGGAGAAGGTCGGAGGCAGAGTGGGACCTGGCAAGGCAGCGCCTCGACAGCCATGGTGAGGAGTTGGCTTTGTTTGGGTACAGTACTTCTCAGTTTGTGTGTATACAGGATCGTTCGGGCAGTGCGGGATCTGTTAGGATGCCATTGTGGTTGCCCAGGCGCGATAGGATGGCTTTGTGGTCTGAAGTGGGTCGGTGTGAGATACAGGCATTTAATTTTTACATTCCTGGTCTCATTTTACCTATTGAAAAACAGATTCAGATAGTGATTTTCTGAAGATCTCATAGCTCATACGTAATAGCTGACACGATGCAACTCCAGATCTGATTGTTTTCAAAGTCCATGTTTTTTCTTGCTATTCTAGACCTTTTCTTTGAGTTGACCAGTTTCTTTTATTACATGAGTATGTTTATCAGTTTTTATTTGTATATATAAATGCGTATTTTTTCTACCTTAGACTTATTATATTGGAAGAAGTCTTAGGCATTAACTCAGTTACTTCCTTCTCAGTGCAGGAATGCCTTCTGTAAGACTTTGGACAGGTGCACAGTCTCTTATACTTTTAGTTTGTCACACAATTTGTAGCAGATTTTTTTCTACAATTCTTTCTAAAAAATTATTCAGAAGTGTTCTTCAGGTATCTTCTATTTTGAATTTCAGTACCTTTAATCAGTGTTTTTAAAAAATAATGCTGTTGGGTATATATGTTACTTCAGTTTTCAAGTGATCGTGTATATGTTCTCAATCCACTTTTATCTGTGGAAGTTTGCTTTTTATACTAAGGAGTTTGAAATTTTTTCATGTGGTCATTAAGTATATGTAAGCGCTCAGAGCAGTGTCCCTAATTCATGTTAAATATGCGATAAGTATTTGTTAATTGAATGAGTTAATCTTTTAAGATTTGTAAGTATGGTCTCATAAGCATTATGTTATATAAACTGTATTTAATATACTTACAAGGTTGGTATAAGATCACAGAGATGAAGTATGACAATAATCACAAAATTTAGACCTTGAGCCTGTCACTTTGGTGTTCCATGTTTATAGCTCCAGTCCCGTCCATTGTCATCCTGATAATCCACTGTCGATTAGCTTGGAAATTTCCATCCTGGGTGCCCACACTTCTCTTGGCGTTCTCTGCATTCCCATCTCTTCCTTTCGTCAGATCTGTATAGTTAGTTTCGTGTTAGTGCTGCGTCAGGGCCTTACGATTTCCCTGAGGCTATATACATTGATCTTTACCTTCGGATCAGCTCTTGCTTCCCATCATTCCTCAAATCTTGACTCCTTTCTGATCTTTTTTCTAAATAATAACATGTAAGTTGATAATATTCCTTGTCACCCACCCCTCCATCCCTCATCCAAGCACACACGTACACAGTCCTCCTCCTCACTGTGTGACATTCCCATGGTTATTGCCCCCTTATGCGTATGACTTTTGGCTCTTAGGACAAGTGGTTGGTAATTTAAATCACATGCTCAGAATGGGATGTGGGAGATTTTAATTGTTAGCACAATGCCCTTGGTCTCTCCATGCCTATTTTTCTCAGCATCCTTCAATAAGCTAGTATTGACCTCTCAAGTTGGTGAATGAGAGGAGCTTTTGCCTAATGCAGTTCAGCAGTTAATTCATGATTAGCATCCCTGGGACCATTCTAAACACAAGAGGATAGCAAGTATCAGAAATTTGGCAAAAGTACCATACCAAAAAGAAGGGGGTCAGAGTCTAGGATTAACTGGTGATCTAAACTGGTTTTAGTCCAGGGGCCATTTTTGTTTTGCTGTAATTTCGAGTACCTGGTTTCTTATGTTATTGATGATTTATCGAGAGCATACTTTGTAGCTAGTGATTCATACTTTGTAGCTAGTAACTCAGAATTTCAGATGAACGGTTTAAAGATTTGCAGCCATGTTTTGCGTACACCGAATGAAAGTGTTTACAGAGGACCACCTCCTCCCATTCATGATGTTTGGCAGGACACCCACCTCATTAGCTAAAGTCAAAAGTAGTCGTTGGTCAACTCCAGTGTTATTTTCCAGAGAAATATACATCTTTGAAAAAGTTTACTTGCTCTAAGAGACTTCCACGTTGTATCAAATAAAAGATAATGAGGCTGAGGATTGAAAACTACAGTGTCTGCTCAGTTACAGTCTGATTCCCTGAAAAGACTTTGACTCAAGTGTTGGCTTCCATGTCCGGATGGTGGGTTTCGCTTCCTTTTGTTCAGCCTTGGAACTCTGGCTGGATCTCCTGAGACAGTTGCAGAGGAAGTAAATACGGGCAATGGCTGGGAAGGCTGGGTGTAACCTTATGAGCCGTATTATTAGGATGTTCGGTTATAAACAGTAGCAGAAGCACTGCCAAAAACAAAAGCTAGCTCCCTTTGCTGAAAATATGTACAACTCTATTTTCGGACTGATGGGAACACAACGTGGGTGTAGTTTATGTAATCACAAGGGGTCCCAGGGAATGAAAAATAATATGGGGGCGGAGGGTGGGAGTTCTGGCATTTCTTCTGAAGTAACTTCTGCTGTCTCACGTGGCACATGCACAGTAACTTACCAGAACTTTGGATGTTGAATACCTGCAGTATCCATGATCTGCTTGTCATGGAGATGGCTGTGAACAAAAGACTAACTTCGTGTTTTTAGCTAAAGATTCATGAATGTGGTCAGAGCCAGAAACTGTTTTGGTAACTTATCCCTCCAAAAGATGTGAATATTTAATGGCAGAGTTTGTTTTCCTTACTTCGAGCTACTTGCTACACACAATTTGTAAATGATCTAGAACTATTCCTTCCCCCTCCATTCCGCCTGTTGCCAGTCCTGTATTTGACTGATAGCTAAAAGATTCCATCGCCAAAAATCCATATAGAGGGGCTCATCATCATCATCTCCATTTTTCTCTTAAAACTCAAGTTATTAGCAGTCTCTACACTGTTTCTGTTCTGTCTCCCAGTCCTACTTTGGCACTCAGAATATTTTGCCAAGCCTCATCTCAGAGCTGGCTAGAATGTTGATAGTACAAAGAACCAGCTTATTTATTAATGTGAAAACCTGTCTTAGAGGTCACCTTTTGGAAAAGAGACTAACATGAGAACAGATGTGTTACCATTTTTGTATTCTGGGCCATTCTTCTTTCTTGTTTATACACCTTTGTGCTTTCTATGCGCCTCAAAAATTTCTAAGGAAAAGGTCTCTAATTTGGGTTATAATGATACGCAGTAAAGTTCATAATATTTCTTTGTTTCCTTTTCATTGTCTATAGGATCTGTAATAATGTCCCCCTTTAATTTCTGATACTGATAATTTGAAACTTTTCCTTTATCCTTGCTCAATCTAACTAGAGTTTTACTGATACCATTGATCTTTTCAAGGAAACCACCTTTTGGGTTTATTGATTTTATTGTTTATTTTCTATTGCACTGATTTCTTTCTTTTTTTTTATATATCTTTATTGATTTCAGAGAGAGGAAAGGAGAGGGGGAGAGAGAGAGAGAAACATCAATGATGAGAGAGTCATTGATTGAGCCCGCAACCCGGGCATGTGCAATGACCGGGAATCGAACCCCGATCGCCTGGATCCCAGGTTGACGCTCAACTGCTGAGCCATGCCCGGCTGGGCTATTGCACTGATTTCTGCTCTTTGTTTTTTTATTATTTTTTTGAAATTCTGTTTGCTGTGGGTTAACTTGCTCTCTTTCTAGTTTCTTAAGGTGGTAGCTTATAAACATTTTTAGAATGTCTTTTTTCCTAATATAGACATTTAATATTATAAATTTTGCTCTAAGTGCCATTTTAGCTATACCTCAAATATTGTAGGTGACGTTTTATTTTTATTCTGTTCAAATATTTTCTATTATTTAACTGTTTAATGTTTCCTTAAGATTTCTTCTTTAACCATGAATTTTTTTAAGAAGTTTTTTTAAACTTTTAAATTATTTGGTGTGTTTTTTGTTTTTTTCCAGATATACTTTTGGTTTTGATTTCTAAATTTATTACTGTTTAAGTTAAAGAGCATGCTTTTTAATCCTCAAATCTGAGACTTGTTTTATGCCACAGAATATGGTCTATCTTCCATGCACACTCAAAAAGAATGAATTCTGCTATTGTGTAAAGTGGTCTTTATGTGTTCATTAGATCAAATTGGTTGATAATGTTTTTCAGGTTCTCTGTATCCTTACTGATTTTGTGTTAACTTGTTTTATCTGTTACTGAGAGAAGACTGTTAAAATCTCTAATGGCAATTAGAATTTTATATTAAATTTAATAAAAATAACTTTTGTATGCCTAAGTTTTATCAAAAGCCTCTTTAGAGCATTAATTGAGTAACAATTGCCCTGATTGTACTGTAAAAAGGTATTTTTTCTTAAAATAATTTTATCCACTTTGCAATAAAATTGGAAAAACAAAGATGGGAGTGATGGCACAGTAGATGAACTTGCAGCAGCTGGAAAATCATCCCATGTGACTTCACTGTCTGAAGCTCAGCCTGCTTTTCTTTTCCTTCAGATAAACCAGGAAAGCTGGTGCACAATAGAGCCCTGTCCTGATGCGGCATCTCTCTTGGCTCCCACACAGAGCCCAGGTAAGCGGGGATCTTCCCACTTCCAATTTGCTTGAATACCTGCTTCCAAAATACAGATATTCTAGAGCTGCAGTCCCACTCTAACAACAGATCATTCGATTTGGAGATCTGTCCTTCCTTAGCATGTTATGCACTAACACATGATAAAATTGTCTTAATATAGTAAAACTCTGAAAATATATTGTAAAGGACTAAACCTGTGGCTCTCAGTTTTGACACACATGGAAAGCATCTAGGCAGGGTTGGGCCATGGGGCTTGGGCAGAAAGGTGAGGGGCATGAAGAAGCATCAGCTTAACAGTTGTAAGTAAGTCATGGGCATGTAGTGCACAGCGTAGGGAGCACAGTCAGTAATACCGCAGGCACTTTGTGTGGTGACAGCATGGCTACTAGACTTCCTGTGCTGATCACCTCATAAGGTATATACATATCAAATCACTGTGTTGTACCCCTGAAACGAATATAACATTTTATGTCAACTATAATTAAAAAGAGCTTTCCATTCCAGAATGAAAATTAAAAAAACAAAAAAAGTATCTTGGGAGCGCTAAGATACATTGATGCCTGGGTCTTATCCCCAGAGATTCTGATTTACTTGTGCTGGGGGTGTGTGGCCTGGGCACCAAACTCTTTAAAAACCCCTTTGGTTATTCTCCTTTGCAGCCAATCATTAAGAACCACGAACTTCAGAAGTATTGTCAGGAATTGAGTCTCTCCTGAGGTCTTAGTAACAACAGATGAGGGTAACGTGCTCTTAAGACCTTGCTTGGTAACAACACAGCACGTGGCTTGCGGCTAGTTAGGATTCCCAGCAGTTCTTCTAGGTTTAGCCACTAATTCACTGTGTTGAAGGCATGTTCCCTCATGTCTCCGTGCTCTGTTTTCTCTGGCCTCCCAGCATGACTAGCTTTTTCACAGGGATGTCGCCTGAGTGCCATGGCGGATAACCGTAAGTCCATTGCCTGTCCCCGCAGCTGCCATGTGAACACTGGCTATTTACCTCCTGAGCCCTTAAGTCCACTTTACCACAAGAAACTTCTTTTTACAATTCCAAAGTTTATTAACCTGCTTTAAAAATGACTGATTCCTCATTTACTGGTCTTTCTGGAAACAGTTTAGCTGTGGATATCCTGTGCTAGTATTAAATTTAAAGATGAACTTCAAATCCTTTGTCTCCAGAGGGTTTTCCTACTGATTCTCAACTCTCTGAGTTTACTCCAAAGGAAATGTTGGAGCCCGGCCGGCGTGGCTCAGCAGTTGGGCATTGATCTGTGATCTAGGAGATCATAGTTCGATTCCCGGTGAGGGCACATGCCCGGGGTGCGGGCTTGATCCCTAGCAGGGGGTGTGCAGGAGGCAGCCGATCAATGACTCTCATCATTGATGTTTCTCTCTCTTCCCCTCTCCCTTCCTCTCTCTGAAGTGAATAAAAACATTTAAAAAAAACAAACAAAAACAAAGGAAGTGTTGGAAACAAATGTGGAAAGGGTTTTTCTCTATGTTTGTCATACATGGAGAAAGTGGTTGAAGGATATTAAAGGCTATAGTTGTGTTTAGGGTCTCGCATATTATAAGATGGACCCTGTTCACAGATTCAGCTGAAACTTCCCCCATCCAGCCCCCTAGAACCTTTTACTTAAAAGTATCTACTTATTCCTTAAGCTGTCTGGGGCTTTTTCTAAAAGTGTAATTACTCCCAACCACCAAGCAGTGAAACTGTCTGCTGTAAAGGTTGAATGAGGTGGCCTCATAATATGAATATTCACAGGATGCCATGTGCTATAGTTTAATTTACTTGTTTAAAGAAATGAATTTTGAACCCCTGAGCATTTCCCCCAGGGCATAATCTTGAATTTTGTTGACCCCTCCTACTCTAACCCCGAACATAACCCCTTTGGGTGTTTTTAGAGTGATTCTTTTAACTTCAGTGTAACAGAATCCAAGATCTGGATTATGCTTCTAAACTTCAGACATGAGATTTTTTATTTATTGCAGGCATAAGTTTTTTGGTGAATTCTAGGCAGGCTTCCTCCTTTTGCTTTATGAACACAGCTCAGGGCAGCAATAGTGTTAGGCCAAATGAGAGAATATCCTTTAAAATTACTTTGTATATTTTAAAATTCTGGATAAATACAAGAAAACATTATGATTAGCAGGGTTCAGCAAAGCACAGTGAGTGCTGATGGTATATTCCTACCCTGCCCCAACTATAATTTGTTTGCATACATATAATTTTATACCCAAATGACTAGATAGCATCTTTAAAAGTACACATTTTGCTAGCTGTTAAAAAGCTAATGGCTCAGGACACAAAAGTATTGACATTTATATATGGGTCATAAAATGGGCCTGGTCCACCTCAAGGTAATGTCCTTACTGGATGCTCGTTGAGTCACACATTATAGGTTAATGACGCCTTAACTTCATTAGGCGTGTTTATCACACCCCTGCTGTTTGTGGAGGGGCAGAGTTCTGGTTGCTGTATTTATAAATTAGTTCTGACTTTCACTACAGCTCTTTGAGGGAGGTCCTCAGCATCCCATTTCACTGGTGTGGAAATGAAGACTTAGGGGGGTTAATTAATTCTTGCCTGGGATCTTTCTGCTAATAAGTAGCCAGACCTAGAGGAAGCCTCATCAGCCTAACTCTAAAGACAGCACCCACTCTTATACCTTCAGGTGCTGCTGTTTTAGTCATTAGGAAGGAGACTTGCAGGAAGAAAGGGAAGGATTTCATTCATTTTGAAAACTTACCAGCACATGTGAGTTAGGGTGTAGGAGAGCTTCGCCTTTAGCGCCCCTCGCCCCATTTGTGGGGCCTTTGTAATGGCTCAGAGTCCTTTCCTCTCGCCTTTTCCTTGTTGCATGCTCGTCTCTCCCTCCCTGTCTCAGCAGCCGGCGTATACCACATAGCCCACTCTTACCCCGAACTTGGTCTGTGGTCCCCGTGGTGCTTGGAGTTCTTTTCTGGGCAAGGCGTTCCTACGAGGGCTGAATCTGGAGCTTCCCTGTGACTTTTCCATTAGAATGTCTTGAGCTGTGTGTTTTCCAGTCTGCAATTGGGACGTGGTCTGTTAGGCTGCCAGCTGGACTGCTAGAGCTCAGCATAGTTGCTGTGACAGCCCTTTCTTTTCCTGGCCAGCCCCCTGTTTTCCCCTCAGCCATGGGTCGGAGGTTTTCATTTTTCCAAGTGTGGAAAAGGGAAGAAGTGGAAAGATTACACCCCCCAGCTCCACCTAAGGTAGCACATACTCTCCGAAATGTGGGCACTCCAGGATACCAGGGGTTTCCAGTATTTTACAGGTAGGGCTATTTCCATTGAAATATCACAGTCAGAAACATCATTGACACCAAGATGGAAATGAACTAAGATCATTATTTTCTTTATCTGGAACATTTTCAGAAACATCTGTGGGCCCAGCCTCACTTCCTATGGCATCCTTTGTGTACTTCTGTGTTGAAATTGTCTCTTAATATGTTTGTTTCCACTCCAAGATTGTAATCCCCGCCTCCTCCACACAAGCACTAAACTCCCTCTCTCTTTTTTTTTTTTGGACACCCCCTGGTACGTAGTCAGATGCCTAACTAATGGAAGAGGTAATTTTATTGACAGGCGATTCATGACCGATCCCAGTGCAGTGCCTCTTTGATTCTTCCCCTAAGATTCCTGGCTAATCCAGGGCAAATAATTGATTAATGATAAGTTATTAATTTAGCTAAGAACAACTTCTCATTATCTCTGAGCTTGCACACCCTCTCCACAATTATTGTCCAAGGATAGACTCTAAGAATTAAAAGAGACACAGGGTAACCCAGTTCAATCTTCACTTCCCCTTCTTTCCAGAAGCCTGTTGACACAGTCATTCAGCCTTTGCTCCAGCCCCTCTGGTGAAAGTGAGGCTCCTCCGATTGCCCAGCAGCCCAGCCGCCTTGCAGTGAAGCCCTGCGCCTTCCAGTCTGATTGCTGGAATGAAAAGAAACTGAATTTTAAAAAAAGTATTGGTTGAATAAATTTTCTTTTTCAGAATGTGAGAACTTCCTGGATGTTGGGCTGGGCAGGGAGTGTGGCCCCAAACATGGTGGACTTAAAAGAGAATCTGGGAGTGACTCTGACCTATTTCACTCACCCAGTGAAGACATGGACAGCATCGTCTTCTCCAAGGTACTGTATGTGCTTCCCGCTGAGGGCTGTGACCCTGTGAGTCTTCCAGGGCTTCTCTCTGGCTCTCACACGACCTAAGAGAAGTGTAAATGTTCCCTTTCAGAGAAGGAAGCTCCAGGTTTCCAGGGGCGTAGAAAAAAGCTTTGGCCACTATTTTCTGCAGAATCATGGCTGGTTACATGCAATTTTTGCAGCTCACACTGAAGACTAAAGAAATGGAAGTGAATTAAATCAGATGACAATGGGTACTTTTCAGTGGGCAGGAAGGACCGCAGCTCAGACTATATGATGTCATGTGTATAAACTAACCACAGAGTCATTTCTGACTAATGTGTTCTAGGCCCGAAGCTCACTGCTGAGCTTGGTGATGTCAAGCTGCTTTTCATATAATTTGAGGCCCTCTAAGGGTGGGGGTGGCGTGGTTTGCTTTTTTTGGGGGGGGGCCTTATGTTTGCACCTAGTTGCAGCGAGCTCTGCTTTGTTTCCTGAGAAAACTCGAGGGCTTTCCCACAGCAGAGTCCGCAGTAGCGCTCAGTCCTGTGCCACAGGAGGTTGTCTTAGTAGCAAGGGGGTGAGGGGCGGGCGTGGCAGCTGTGAAGACGCCTCCGTGAAGGGCTCGTGGTGACTCGGGGGAAGTGACGGGAGCAGCTGTGTTAGTGGGTGATTATGTTCCCCTGGCCTGTGTGAGGATGTTGTGCTGTAGAGTTATGATAGAGGAGAGGAGGCGTAAGGTTCTGGGGTTCTGGTCCAGATTTATTCAGGCCTCTGTGACTGTACCTTCAAACACTTCATTTTTGTCCAAGTGGCTCTCGTGTGTCCATTTGTCCTTCCCAACCCTTTTCCACCTAGCTCCTTTTCCTTGTGCTCATTATATTGAGGTCCTTGGAAAGATTTATAGAACTTCAGGATTCCTATCATTATTGCTCATAGTGGACTCTTTGACTCAAGAGATTGTGTCAGGCAAAAATCCCACACACTTGGGAAGGTCTGTCTTTCTCTGAGGTTATTTAGGAAGAGGGAAACCAGTAGGATTTTTTAAAAAAAGAACCAAACAAATAGAATTTGGGTAATTTCCACTGTGATTTAGAGGTTTTCATTATAAGGACTTGCATAGTCTTCCCCACTGCCAGCACCAACCGCCGCCCCTGTGGAATGCCATTCTGGAGATGCTTGTCTCTGCAAATAAGTCCCTTTTGTCTGAGATAAAGAGATTAGATAATATCTCCAAGTTTCAGCTTTAAGTTTGAATCATCAATAATCACTGAACGGTGTCATGGATACACACGTTTTGTTAAACATTTCTGTCTGAGAATTTTCATAGTGAAAAACTTTAAAAATGGAGAAGTCTTCATTAAGAAATGCTCGCTGCCTCCTAGTACGTGACACCGTGTCCCTGGATGCTCCACTGTCTGCAGAATACTAGTGATTTCTGCTCACTGAATCGAGTGATTTCCCTAGCCATGCAGAATGAGCATTTCCTATATTTTACCTGCTTTTCAAACTGCCAAAAGCATTTATAAGATTGTTCATACCGGTGGCCAGTGCTAGATTTCACAGTTTTTTTTTCAGGATGACTAGATAGATACAATTTTTACTCCCCAAGTTAAGTCTTCTCTGTATCTCACACCCGAGTGCCTCGGGAAACCAGAAACACCGTGCACGCTTCACCTCGCCCTGTGCTTGCCAGAATGTCCAGTGGCCTCTCCAAGACCTGGAGGTTCTTCCTCTTAGTAGTTCCACTCTCCCAGTTTGTGACCCAGAGAGATTTGGTAATAGATGTTTTCTCTCGCATTATTAAGACCAAGGGTTTCCACGTGAATGGAAAAGGAGAGAGACAGACTAATATTTACAAAGTACTTGCTATACACTGGGCACTGAACTGAATTTTTTATATGTATGATCTCATTTCATGATCCCAGCAATGCCGTAAGGTGGGTGGGTGGTTTTATGCTCATAGTCCTGAGGAAATAGAGGCTCTGATTGGTGAAGAAGTTTACTCACAGTTCCTCAGCTGGTAACAGAATCGAGACTTGTCCTTAGAGCTGACTCTAAAATCTGTTTATTTTCTTTGCTTTCTGTTACTTTGCTTTCAGTCTCCCAGCACCTCCTTTAATAGCCACTGTTTTATATAGAAGCACAGCAGTGGCAGACGCCCCACCAGCCACTTAAAAGTCTTGCTCGGTGGTCTCCCGTAGGATAGCCATTGCAGCCTCCTCTGATGTGAACTGTGGTGTGCGTTAGGTCACTTCCTGCAGCCATTGCTGTGACTCTGGCCTCACAGGGGCCCCCTTAACAGCCTGCAATGTTTGTCACAAACTTTTTTTTTTTTTTAAATGTATCTTTATTGATTTCAGAGAGAGGAAAGGAGAGGGAGAGAGAGAGATAGAAACATCAATGATGAGAGAGTCAGTGATTGAGCCCACAACCCGGACATGTGCCCTGACTGGGAATCGAACCCTGATCGCCTGGATCCTAGGTCGATGCTCAACCCCTGAGCCACGCCCGGCTGGACTGTCACAAACTTTTTGCCTTAACTTTGTATTTCCATGCAGCCTGCTTCCTGGTAAATACTAGGATTTTCGGGGGAGTGTTACGAGCTTCATGTTTGTTCTTTTTTTCCTTTGTCCATCACTTTATCAAAGACTCTGGTGCCAGGACTTACTATTTTATGTATTGTTTGACCTGATAACGCTTTGGCCAATTCTCAGTGAAGTGAGAAAAAGGAACAGATTTCTTGTACTTAAGTATTTGTGGACGGAATTTGGGTGTTGGTGGCAGACTTGAGGTGGGCACATAAGCTGACATTTTTCAGAAGGCCACTAAAAACCATCACAGGCCTGCTTCTGGAATATTAACTTGAGCACATTGTTCTTGTAGCCAAGCAGACAACCTTGCTTTTAGTTACGGCTTGTGAAAAAAAATTAATATGATGTGAATTTACAGTTTTTGTACAGCAGAAACCCAGAGATGTAAGGGTTCCCTTCATTTCAGTTGGTGGTATTGACTGAAAGAAGTCACCTGAGTTTGATTTTTTTTCTCTCTGTAAGAAAGGAAAAATTAATGTCCATCTAGTCTAGTACCTCTAGTCAGAGGGTAGAAAGAGCATATGTCCTAGACCATACCTTTACTGGCGGCTATTTGAGTCCAGCTATGATTATGCTTTAAAAAAGAAATCTCTGCAGCGAGTTGTGATCTTGCCCATCCTACGCACCATGAAGCCATTGGCTCCATTGGGAATAACTGAGGCTCTGCTCGGTCCTGCTTTTCAACCGTATGCGCTTTCTCCCCTTCACAGCCCGAGGAAGAGCAGTCGGTCTGCGATATCACTGGATCCAGTTCTTCCACCGATGACACAGCGTCCCTGGATCGACATTCCTCTCATGGCAGCGATGTGTCCCTCCCCCAGATACCAAATTTGAACAGGTCCAGAGATCAGCAATCTCTCGATGGCTTCTACAGCCATGGGGTGGGAGCGGAGGGTCGAGAGAGTGAGAGCGAACCTGCTGGCTCAGGTGAGATGGAAGAGGAGCTGGACAGCGTCACCGAAGTGCCTGCCACCTGCTCTGTCCTGAGGAGCTCTATGCGCTCTCTGTCCCCTTTCCGGAGGCATAGCTGGGGTCCTGGGAAGAATGCTGCCAGCGATGGAGAAATGAACCACCGGAGGTGAGACGCTGGGTTGCTTGTTTAGTCTCTCTGTCTGCTTGCTTTTGAGAAGTGTCTGATTTGGGGTTCTCAAGGGTAAAAGATTTGAGGAGACACCATGGTATAGCAGAACAGAGTAGGCTTTGGAAATGGGAAAACCCCTATTCAGACTCCATCTCTTGACCTTTCTACGTAGATATCCTTGGGCAAGTTGCTTGACCCCTCTGAGCTTTAATTTTCTCATCTGTAAAATACCTGCTTTTCAGAGCATCCGTAACAATAAATATTACAGGTGAAATGTGTCTGTCACATAGAAGGTGTTTAGTAAGTGGTAGCATTTATTCAGGCTAGATTTGTTAATGAAATTCATAGATTAGAAAAATTCATAGATTAGAAATAGTTTGTCAGTTTTAAATTAAGAAATCAATATGAAATCTTATAGTTTGAATACATCTAAGTTTTAAAAGCACTTCAAAGGAATTGCCATCTGTTTCTAATGCAGAAAGTTTTGATAAAGTCTAGATTGTTAGTATTTAATACTCTCAAGAGACTGTTAGAATCATTGAATATCATTAAATTGTTGGTATTTTCCATGTATCATCTGGTTTTCGGGCACTCAACTGTGTGGCCCAGTTGCAGACCTTCAGACCTTCATTTTGGAAGCAGCCTGTGAGAAGATAAGTTGGATTTGATTTCTGACCATTGGCTGCCTAGATGAATTTAAGCAGATGGTTTTAGCTCCAAAGAATAAGTGCCATGAAACCTGCTCTGTGCACAAAGGTGGACACACTCCAGAGCCCCTTCTTAGTGCGGAAAGCAGCTAAGGGAGGAGGCCGACAGTTGTTTTAAAACAATTCACATAAACAGCCTCACTGGAGCAATATTGCTTTAAAAAATATATATATATTTTTCTTGCCCTCTTTATAATATTGTGGCTCTGATTTCCTAGCTATAAGTACATGTAATCTGACGACCTCTTTTATTCAACTGACGTATATAGTGCACCCGCTACCTGCCAGGCATTTCTAGGTTCTGGATGCACACAGGTGAAGGAGACCAAGTTCTGCCCTCATGGAGCTCACAGTAATACCATACACTTTGCTAACTTGCTCCTCTTTTCAGACTCCTTAAATAACAGATTATCTCATGTAATTTTCCAGTCCTCTTCATGAGCCAGGCAGTATTGTCCCCATTTTTGCAGACGGGACTGGTGCACATTGTATCACCTACCCAAGCTCAGGAGAATCCTGCTTTCCGGTCTCCCAGTCAAGGGCTCTTTCACTAATTCCATATTACCCTTGGGTGGAGTTCAGGATGCTTACCATAAAAATAAGGGCTTGCTGGGTACTTTTTGTATACATTTGAATACCTAGGCTATATAAAAAGTGATTCCTAAAAGCTTGGCTTTTCAGCTTTAGCTTTATTCATGCTGTACTTTTTTTGTCTTTAAAGCATTTACACCAATAGAAAAAGTAAGGATTTAGGGGGAGCTTCTTACAGCGGGACATTCTTAGCTTAGATGATAACAGTGTCAAGAAATGAGGGTTTATTTTATATATAAACCTTTTTTAAAAAAAAATAACCTACTATGGATCCTTTTGCCATGACCTTGATTTCAGACCTCGATGGAACTTTATGGATCATTTAGCTCAGATGAGGAAAATTGAAGCTCAGATTGAGTGATTTGCCCAAGATTACATAGTGATCTGTTGACTGAACTAAGAGTAGAACCCTATCACCTAAGTTATTTATATTTTCAACCTGTTAATATCATGGAATCTCCTATTTGAGCTTAGTATTAAGGATTACCCCACACCACTGTCCTGATACCTCTGAAGATAATGGAAGGGGAGTCGGGTATTACTATAACTATTTGACTAAATCTTCCAGTATTACCTGCATACTGTGCAACCTGAAATTTCAAATGTTAGGAAAACCCTTTGTAAATTTTGAATGGCCTTTCTTTTTTTCTGATCCTTTTATAATTTAGGAAACCTCTTCTTTGTTATCTGATTAAGTCCTTGGAACAAGGAGGGAGCAAAGTAGATAGAAACCGTCAGGCCCTTTTGGTCCTGACATTTTTTTCCTTCCACGTTCCTTCATTCCCTTCCTGCACCGTTTCTCTTTGGGGATTGTATGTCTTCCGAGTGTGATGTCTGGATGTTTCATGCGTTTGTATCCATTTTGTCTCACCTCAGCACTGACCTCTTCCACCGTTCATTTTCAGTTCAATGCGAGTTCTTGGGGATGTTGTCAGGAGACCTCCCATTCATAGGAGAAGGTACAGAGTTCACTCATTGCACTAACCTCGTTGCCTCTGAGCATATACTAACAAGCATCTCTTACTCTGCTTATTCCATGATTAAACAGCTGTTTTTAAATAATGTCACATCTGCTTCAGGCAAATAAAATACAGGTACTTAATTGCCGATGCCCCTTCCATAGGAAATGGTCTCTTGAATTTGAAGTTTTGATAACAGGGTCTCCCCAACTTTCTCCAGAAGAGTTTGAAGAAATGTTTATGTAGCGTCTCTAATGGACCCCAGGGAGGACTTTTTCTTTCTTTCAAAAAAAGGAGGGTGAGGGGTGGAGAAGAACCAGAAATACGTGCTTAAAACAAAATTTAAAAGCATTAAATTAAGATCCTAAAATATCTTCAACACATTCTTTAATGTTGTGCTGAGAGTCTGTGTCCCTAGGCCACCTGGCAGTTGCCTTTCCCTTGTAGACTCCTTCGTTCCGTAAAGCAAGAGGCCTCTGCTTACCTCTCAGGGGCCCTCGCACTGTCAACTCTAAGTATTTTTTGTCAGGTGAAAGTGTGAAACTAAAAATTAGTGATTTATAAGCTGAAAAGACAAAAAGTACTGATATGCTTCACATTTTTCAAAGGCTGAGTTTTATTGTCCAGAAGCCATTAGTGACCTTTTTCCCCACTACCTGGAAAAACATTTGGAAATCCAAGAATGATTGTTAGATTTACTGTTAGCTTCTCCCATTAGGAGACATTTGTGAAGAGGTATTTTTAACATTAGCTGAAGGCGTTTGTTGGGAAGCAGGCAAATAGTGAGCTTTTCCATTGTGCCTTTCAAGTGGCTGCTTCCGAGTTAAGTGCAAAATTGAGCTCAGATACAAATATTCTCATGAATCTCAGATAGTCATGACTCTGGTTAAGTTTTTCTTCAGGGGAACAAGTTATAAGTCAAATCCGGCTCATTAATATGAATTATTAAAACCATGCACTTGAAGACCCTGGAAGACAGCAAGTTGCTGGATGCCTTCCAAGTTAGCACATAGATGCAGCCGGCCTGGCCACTGGTGACATTGTCGCCCTTAGTCATTTTCTGTCAGAAGAAGAGGAGGCATCCTTTTCAACGGTGTATTAAGCCTTAACTAGAAAAATTGAAACATTCCAACAAATCTTAAAAGGTGAGAGAGAAGGATAGTTTTTTTTTAAAAAGCCAAAATTTCCTAAATTTTGAAAACAAAGCCCAACAGCCATTAAATGTAAACCCTCACTAACTGAGGAATTAGGGACATTAGGATGCTCTCAAAAATACTCTTTATTATGAAGGCCTTTGCTGCTGCAAGGAAGGGCAGTGTTTCTGCTCCTGTAGGACCATCTGCAACTTCCCTCATCCTTGGAAAAGCCTGTCCCTCTGTCTTCCCTTTGCCCATCATGCTTTTCATCTTAAATTTCATCCCAGTCTCGCCCGTCATTTCTGAGAGAAAAGGGATGTTTGAATCTGTAGGAGATTATTTTTATATGATAAAATTATAGTTTTCTAATTTGGCAATGTATATTCAGTTACCGATTAACCACATCCTTTTTTTAATAAGTTGGATATTTAGATACAATATGCTTTTTTATTAACAGTTTGGAGAGTCACAATTATAAGTTAACAAGTTTAAAGAATGGACTTCTCAGGCTTGTGTGTGTTTGAAAATTATATCGAGCTTACTTCTTACAAAAGCGAATTATAAGTCAGTCTGATCTCACTTTCCAGACTCGAGATGTGCCTCAGCCTTGTATTTCTATTTTCTGCTTCTGCACTTGGGACCTTTATACAATTACTTTAATCTGATTTAAAATATTTTACAATTTAAAGTATTTTATTTATTTAAAAATATATATCTTTATTGGTTTCAGAGAGAGGAAAGGAGAGAGAGAGAGAGAGAGAGAAACATCAATGATGAGAGAGTCATTGATTGGCTGCCTCCTACACGTCCCCTACTGAGGATCGAGCCCACAACCCTGGCCTGTGCCCTGACCGGGAATCGAACAGCAATCTCCTGGATCCTAGGTCAATGTTCAACCGCTGAGCCACGCTGGCCGGGCTACAATTTAAAGTATTTTAAAATGATGTTAAAGATTTTTACTTTTAGAAGAGCCATCGGGGTAGCTCTTGTATTTTCTGCATCTCGTCTCCTCTCACAAACCCCCATTTGTCAACAGAACAAAGTTATTAGGTGTACAGTAGGTGCTCCCCATCCATGGGGGATATGTTCCAACACCCCTAGTAGATGTCTAAAACTATAGATAGTACCAAATCCTATATATACTGTTTTTTCCTATACATATCTATGATAAAGTTTAATTTATAACAGGCACAGTAAGAGATTAATAACTAATAATAAAATAGGACAGTTATAACAATATACTATAATAGAAGTCATGTGAATGGCTTTGAGACCACTATTAAGTAAAATCAGGGTAACTTGAACACAAGCACTGTGATAACTAGACAGTCAGTCTAATAACCGAGGCGACTGCTAAGTAGTTGACTAATAGGCGGAGAATGAGAACGGCGTGGAGAAGCTGGACGAAGGGATGATTCACCTCTGGGTGGGATAGAGTGGGCCGCTGTGGGATTTCGTCACACTACCCAGGCAGACACATACTTCAGAACTTATTATTTGTTTATGGAATTTTCCATATTTTTAGACCCTGGTTAACTGAAACCTTAGGAAAAAAAAATCACAGATAAGGGGAAGACTACTGTATTCAAGATGGGCGGGCCTTTTGGTGTCTGCTGGTCTTCCCGTCTCCAAAATTCAAGAGGGAGCTCAGTGGTTTTACTCTGTCCCCCTTCTGAGAACAAAGGCATGTCACATAGAACTTCAAGGCCCGAATTATAGCAGTTTGTTTGTTTGTTTATTTATTTATTTAATATATCTTTATTGATTTCAGAGAGAGGAAAGGAGAGAGAGAGATAGAAACATCAATGATGAGAGTCATTGATCGGCTGCCTCCTGCACGCCCCTGACTGGGGATGGAGCCCGCAACCCGGGCCTGTGCCCTGACCGGGAATCGAACCCCAGTTGCCTGGATCCTGGGTCGACTCTCAACTGCTGAGGCACGCCCGGCCGGGTGAATTGGTTATTTTTTGGCCGGGTATCTTTACTTAGCCTTTCCAACCCCAGATTTTCTGTCCCTGCTGTTTGAGAATAAATATCAGTGCTGAGACAGTCAAGAAAGTAGACGAACAAGTGGATTTTTAAATTTTTGTGTGGAAATTAAAAAGACAAATTTCTGAGTATGATAGAATTCCTTTTTTAAAAAAGAAAATTAATCCCTTCGTTATTAAAATGCGAGGAAATGTGACCATTCTATACTTCATCTTTAGCACAAGATCCTTGAGAGTAGTAGGGTTTGAAGATGGACGTGAGTCTTGACTGGGTATCGTTATCGTGTGGCTTAGATGGACCCTTCCTGGAAACACATGAAAAAGCTGATGACTCAGTGAGCCTGCTGCCGCAGTGTAGTCTGTCATTGCTCTTAGTTAAGGCCTAGAGATGCTGTGGTGAGGGAGGAGTGGGATATATGGAGAGGTTGTTCCTGGTACTGAAGGTTGAAACACCTCCGTGAGGATGGCTGCACAGGAGGCCATGAGTACGGTGGGCTCTTTATTCAGGGTTCTCTAGAAGGAATTGGGTTTCAGATTGGATTTGTTATCCTGTAAAGAGCTCACATAGTCATTTCCAACACATTATCTAGATAAACGTCAGTAGAACAATTTTAAGATTCCATGGCTTTTGTTTTAGCCTTTTTTCTAAATTGGTGTTGCATTTCTAATTTTTTGATGTTCAAATAAACCCGTCTGTCTCTAACTGTGCCTTTTTAAACCCAATAACCCCATCCCTGTTTCCTCTTTTCTCCCTCCATTTCTGTTTCTGTCATTGATGTCATCCCCAGTATGAGCTGGTGTCCCTCTGGTGTGCAATACTCTGCTGCCCTGAGTGCTGACTTTAATTACAGAAGGTATGGTATTGTTATGTGTCCAGCCATCAAAGGGGGAATCAGAAAGTGTGGCACGTGGGCTTTGGCTTGGACTGGCTTCTCTGTGTGGCTGGATTGCATATGGCAGCCTGCTTTGTCTGTGAGCACACTGTCCCCATTGCCTCTGCTGTTGGCATCACTAATCCGGTTGCAGGGGTACAGCCCAGAAGTTGGATGGTGTACACTGATGCACCCTGTTGGGCTCAAGTGGCTGTAGGGTTGGTGTTCTCTGCAGACTTGTCTCCATGGTGTGCTAGACCACGTCTCTCTGTTTTGGTCTTCTCGCATTCCCAAATCCTTGGAATTCCCACATCCCAAGGAAAACTGACAGAAACAAGGCAGCTCATAAGGTCCACTTATTTCTGTTATGCTACCAAATCTGCCAGTCATTTTAAAATGCTTTCAGATTCATAGACTCCTCGTTTCATGTTCTTTTCTCTACTAAGCATCCAGATTTAATTACAAAAACATTTTCAGGGTTAAGTTTTGTGGTAAGCATAGATCTGGTTTTCTCAGGCATTACAGATCATTCACAATAGAAAACTAAATTTCTTCTTCATTAGCCTGTCTTCTTATCCCTGGTATTAAAAATGACTTTTATAAGAGACATTACTTGTAGTTAGCCATGATTTCTATTGTCATATTGAAATAAGAAAAACAAAATCCATTGTTTAATTTACCCACTAGAGAAAATGGAGACATACGGTTTTAATTCATAGTAAGTAGTTTGTGAAACAAAAAAGCAAATTCAACCCTTTCTGGACTGGCATTTGTCAATTATTTGTAGCAGTTAACTGTACAGTTTGAGCAGAAATAACTAAATAGCTTCCGAGTCCCTTCAAATACAATTCAGCTGCTCATGACTGAGGACATGGTCAGCTACAGCTGTATTTCGAGGTCTTGCCTATTTTAAAGAAGCTCCCCCTGCAGTTGTAAGAGATGTGAGTCATCCTGGCTGGCAACCCCAAGAAGGAAAGAGGCTCACCTTTCCTTGTAGCCATCTGCTTATAGAAAGTGCTTTTTACTCTGCAAACCACAAAATTCTTGGGGTTCCCATTTTGGATACCAAACTCTAACTTTCTTTTCTTCTTTTTGCTTTGTCAATATCAGGACAAAAATTAGAACTCTTAGACTTAGTAGCTTCTCAGCTTTTGTTCTTTAAGGTGTCCTGTGTGCCTGTCTGCAACTAACAATTGCAGGAAACCTGTTAAGCAGTTGTTGTCCGGCCAGGTGTGCACGGTTGATAATGCTCATAAGTGACTCTTGGGTTTTCTGGGGTGGGTGTATACCTGTGAAGTTAGAAAGCTCAATTAGACTGTCATTGAACGTAAAGTTGTAAAAGCCCACTTAATAACATTGGGGGCAAGTCTGAACCTCCTTGTATGCCTTCTGAAAGATACTTACACTCATGTTTTCTCTGTGCCATTTAATTATTTGGCATTAGCAGAGTTCAGTTACGGCAAAGATCAAGGGAAAACACATCAATAAAAGATCAATAAGAGCATATGTTCTGTCCATATGATATAATGAAAGAAATCTGGGAAAATGGCCTTAGATAGTTCAATATTTAAACAGTTGAATGAGGTAAGAAAATCTAAGTGCACTTTTCTTTCTCCGCATACCAAGGCCTGTGAGGGGAAAGGTACGTGGTGCTCATCTGTTCCATGCCCTTGTAGACAGCATTGTTGGGTGATGTAGAAATAATACACAAGCAGGAGAGATACCACTAAAGGGGCTTTCTATTCTTTTTGTCTGAGACTCGGAAACGGGATGAATTAACTCTTGTGCTCTATGTTCAGTTTCAGCCTAGAAGGCTTGGCAGGCGGAGCTGGCGCCGGAAACAAGCCTTCTTCATCTCTGGAAGTCACCTCTGCAAACGCCAAAGAGCTCAGGCACCCGTTCAGTGGTGAGGAACAGGGTGATTCTTTGGTGTCACTTTCAGAAGAGGATTTGGAATCGGGCCAGAGAGAACACAGTATGTTTGGTCATCAGGTAAGGCTGAAATGCATATATGTTGCTAATTTGGAAAAACGTTTATTTTCCTAAGTATATCCTCATATTAGGAGCAAAGGAGGCAATAGTTACGTTAATATGAGGCTAGCAGCTATGATTACTTACCTTCAATCTAGCTCAAAACCAGTTTTTAGCGCTTAATACTAATTAAAGAATATTAATCTGCATAGATTGGTGGGTTTTTTTTAATTATTTTTTTTATAATTCTCCCCTGAGGATACTTTTTTCTTTGCTTTTCAGAGAGAGTGGAAGGGGGGAGAGAGAAACATCGATGTGAGAAAGACACATCGATTGGTTGCCTCCCACACTCATCCAGACTAGGGTAGGTATGGAGCCTGCAACCGAGGTACATGCCCGTGGCCAGAATTGAACCTGTGACCCTTCAGTCCGGGGGGCCAACTCTAACCACCGAGCCACACCGGCTATGGCTATTAATCTGCATAGACTTAAATGCTCCATCGAAGCAGCTTCTTTTTTTTTTTTTTTTAATTAGGAACCCAGGATATTAAACTGATTTTTCCCTCCTTTTCTGAGAACTTGTTTTGCCACTCCAATAGTAAAGTGAATCTCGAAGTGTGTTACACACCATGGTTAAACTTTCCAGTTCTCAAAAACATCACAAGTTTCTCTTTCTTGGAAAAAAATTCTTATTCTCTATCTTATTACGTTGTCTAGGAAAGGATTATTTATTCTCTTCTTCCTGTCACTGCCAAAATTCTTGGGAGCATCTGCATTCCCTGTCCCTCCTCCTCACCCCCTAATGACCCCTTACTGTCCACCACTGTCTACTCTCCTGAAAGTCCTCTCTTGAAGGCCATGGATTTCCTTTTCTCCCAAATCCAGTGACCTTCTAGGTTCTCAGCTTCTCAAGCCCTTCATTATCACTCACCACCTCTGACAGTCCCTCGGGGAGTTTTTGAGTTGAGAATTTGAATTATGTGCTTTTCTAGCATCCTAGGCTACTCCAGTCCTCTTTCCTCATCTTGGGCAAAGGAGACTTTGGAATAATTTCTGAGAGGATTTCAGGACACGTATCCAAGTGAAACATTTCTAACTAAGCAAACAAGTTAAACCCCTGTCTTTAAAATAGGTGAGGGGAGTTTTAGGTAGAAATATAGTGAAACATTTCTTTTTCCCTTTTTTGTTGAATTTATTGGGGTGACATTAGTTAGTAAAATTATATAGGTTTCAGGTATGCAGTTCTGTAATACGTTATCTGTATATTGTGTGTTCACCACCCCAAGTCAGGCTGCCTTCCATCACCATTTGGCATCAGGGGATTACCTTAGTAATCAATGTATCACTATGGTCATGGGAAGGCCTAAGAGAATTTAGGCGTCATGAAAATCAAATTGAAGGCCTACAGGAATTTTGTTGTACTTCACCTTTCTGGAATTTTTTTAACCTATAGTCTTTTATCTTGTGTGCAACCTTGAAGTCTTTATTCAGGCTGCTTGTATCTCTGATCTGGACAAGTTGTCTGCAGCCAACTTCCTGTTGGAAGTCTCTGCCTTTCCCTGAGGTCATTTTTCAGACCTCACAGTTGTATTGGAAACATAGCAACCGTGCCTCAGACTCCATGGTTACACAGGAAACAAGCTCTAAATAATCAGAAGTCTTCAGTGCAGTCTAGTCGAGTTTATGTTGGTAACGGGTTTTCATTGCTTCCCTTTCAACATGTGCAAGTCAGACAGAGGCAGATTTCAGCCGACCATGAAGGGAAGGGATTTATCATAAAGTTAACAATTAGGATGGGCTCTCAGAGTGTGCTGTTAAACACCGATTGACTCCGTTTGAGGGGTACCCTTGCAGGAACTTCTGCAGTCGGGTGGATTACTAATGCCTTGAAGCCACTATGACTTTACTGAGGGAGTTAAATGATCAAATTTCAGTCACCCCCATGTAGAGAAGCAGCCTGATCTTAGAAGAGGAAATGAGATTTAGGCTTATTTCCAGATACAGGGCTGCTTTGCTTGTAATCTTGAAACCCTTTTTCTTGAATGTGTTTCCAGTTCTTCAAGATCAGAATATTACCGTTATACTTCTGTAAGAGATATTTAGGTTTTCAAAGAACAAGAACTGTATGTAGTTTGATATTTCCAGTGAAATTTTTTTAATCTGATTATGTATGCAGCAGATGTTAATTAAGCACTTACTAAGTTTGAAACGTTATTAGGGGTTGTTAGGGATAAAACCACTGTAAAGGATGGATACTCTAATTATCCCCAGTTTACAGATAAGAAAGCTAAGGCCCAGAAAAGCTGAGTCGCTTCTCTGCAGTTGAGCAGCCGTTAAGTGGTGGGGGCTGACTTCAGTCCAAGTCTGAGTGCAGAGCCTGCGCTGTTAGCCCTGTGCCACCTCGGTTGCCCAGCGTGGGCTGGATTGCAGAGTTCTCTGCTCATCTAGAATGTGAGAGCATGTACTTAGAACCTGTTCCTCACTTTTCTTTTTTACTTTACAGACATGTCACAGACCTAAACAACAGGGATTTAATTACTGTACATCAGCCATTTCTTCTACATTGACAAAGTCTGTCTCATTAATGACAATCAGCCATCCTGGGTTGGACAGTGAGTATACTACTTTTTAAAAAAATGAAATATCTTTGAACACTTTTCTATCATTTTTCTCACTTTAAGACCCTATAACATTACCTTCCAAAATTGGCTTGTCTCTTCCTCTGAATGAATGGCCACCATTTAAACAGAAAAGGTGAGATAGATTTCAGTTTTGTGACTGTCCTCCTCTTACTACCTAAATATCTCCTTAATTCTTTAAATTTATTATATTTGGGGGGGGCTAAACCTGACACATTTTTAAAAAAGTTATTTTGAAATAATCTTGGACTTGGAAATTAGTCGCAAAAACAGTAGAAAGAATTACCGTATATTCTTTACCTGGAGTCCCCAAATGTTAACGGAGATGATGCTCTAGGTCTCAAGGATACTGTCTTATTTTACCACAGTACAATTACACAGATTTTATCCGGTGTTATTTTCCTGAGCTCTTCAAAAATGTCAAGTTAACGAAGGACAAAGAAAGACTGAGATAGGGTTTTAGTTAACTGAGGGCTAAGAGCATTATGTCTGAAACGGATTAATGCAACTGCATGCAAATTCAGGGCCCACTGGCTGTGAAGTTATATGGAGACATCTGAATTCCACAAGCACAGGGCGTTTGCATATGAAAGATGCGCAAAAAAATATTTGCATTGAATCCCAATGTGAGTCACCGAGAGGCAGTTTATTCTTTGAGAAACACCACTTTTTTGCATTATTTTTGAAATACTAATTTTTTTCATGAGTGTTGTGGTGTTTCTTCAGTGTCCCCTGGTAATAGTCATATTCAAGAGTTAGGGACAGAAGTAGCTGCCCTGTATTAATGGGATGTTTCCATTTATGACTTACTGGAGGCCTACTCTCTTTATTTTTTAATTTTAACTTTTTTATAATATGTTCTTACTGATTTTAGAGAGTAAGGGAAAGGGAGAGAGAAACACGCATCGGCTGCCCCCTGCACGCCTCCTCCTGGGGATCGAGCCCTCAACCTGGGCACGTGCCCTGCCTTGGAATTGAACTGGCGACCTCTGGGTGCCTGGGACGGTGCTCAACGAACTGGGCGGCACTGGCCAGGGCTGATCTACTTTTAATTTCCACAGTGGGACTAGACATGGCTGGCTTTATTAACTTTGTTCTCCTTTCCATATGATTAATTCTTCAAATACAAATCTGGCCTGTTTGACTAAAGCTACCTAATGCGACTTATTCTCAAAGATACAGGTATAACCTCACAGAACCGTAAACAGAAATAGCTTTTCCCGCTTTTGTTTGGATTTGGGTTTTGTTTTGATTTGGCTTTGGGTTAGAATGAAAATTATTTTAACAAAATAGTTTATATTGGATTTGATGCACCTGGAGTACCAGGGACAGACAGGAAAGCACCCTTTGTGAGACAGCTCTGTGTACCCTCCCCCAGGATGAGCAGTATGGTGGCCTGGTGGAGACTCTACTCCAAGAGCAGCAAATATGCAGCACCAACAGAATGTGTCTCACACAGAGATCTTTTTCCTATGTTTTGTCACACTCTCTCACCTAGTGCGTGAAACACTTCATTATTTTTTCTCCAGAATGCAAGATGGTGTTTTACTGGGTGTTCAGTTGCTAGCCAAACACTATAAATAATGCAGCTAACTCCCAAGGAACAGTGTCCTCGAGTGCCAGAGGTGCTGGCACACGATTTGCTTCCTGTTGCTGGGGGCGTTTCGGCTCGGCTCGCTGAGGCAGAATGACCCCTGTCAGAGTAGAGCTTTAAGCAAGAGGTCAATCCTTTCATTAACATAGGGTGCCGTCATCCTGATTTATAGGGTACATTTCATGCAGGTTTGAAGGGGCGGTCATAAACTTGTTGACTAACCCCACTTAATTCCCTGAGTTAGCATGTACTATATATAATTGGAGGGCTAATGACGCTATTTCTCCTGAGTCCCTCCCTTTATACATTTAAGTCAATTTTCCCAACTGGATTTTTTTATTCTGCACTGGAAACATGATAAATTCTTTGGTAGATGTAAAAATCCTGGCTGTTGAACAAAAGACTAAAACTTCTGTTTCAATGTGTTGAATCATGTGCTGTGCCTTTAAGCATCAGGACAACTGGGTAGTTCTTGATTTGTCACACACTCAGATCTCCAATTCCAAATCGCTCAAATGCTGCATGATTCATCTTTGGTCACGGTCTTCCTAGCGGAAATTATCATAATTAATATCTATACAGTGATTTTATAGCCTAAAATGTTTGGTACACTTCACATGTTTTGGGTTTGATTGTAAGCACACTTAGTGACTGTGGGACCTTGGGCTAGATGCTGAAACCCTGCCTCAGTTATTTGAACTATTAAATGGGTAATAATGTGATGAGGCTTAAATGTGAATGTTTTAAAGCCCTCAGCAGAGCCAGGGTCCATTTGTCTCTGACAGGTTGCGGCAGTGTCACAGAAACTAGGACATTGTCCTTCATTTTCTTTAAGGGGCTTTGTCTCATGAACATACTTCTCTAGGAAAAAAATACTTTCTAAAATCAACCTTCTCTCACTACTTGCCAGCTTTTACTTGTGCTCTGTCCTGTTCCTTTAATGAAATTGCCTGTTTCCACCACAGTCTTTCACATTTGAACATTTCTGAAAATGTGCATTCCCTGCGCTGCTGTCTGGGACACCGTGTATCATTTGTTAGATTAGAAAAACAGACAAGCTCCAGCCTTATTTCTACGCTGGGACCCTTTGCAAAAATCCATTGATGTAGAGGGAAAGACTGAGTAAAGGAGGTGACTCAGATACTTCTGAATCATTTTCTGGGGCTGAAGAGTAGACGGGCGATGGCTTATGTAGGAGCCACAATGGGTGGGAAAACTTCCCAACTCATGTCTCCCATTCGCTGTGTCCACGGAAGAACATGACGGTGCATCTTGCCGGCTTTTAGAGAATCAGTGGCCCTGACGCTGCCTGTGTCATGTGGGAAACGCCAGCAGGATGGCCCCCAGAGAGTCCGCTCCAGGAAATCAATGTGTTGCAGCATTTCTCCTTCCTGCATCAGACAGGACTGGGTGGAGGCTCCCAGCCTGCCAGGAGACTTACATGGTTTCCGGGTAGAATTTAAGAATAAACCTCATTTTTGCTCTACAGAATCATTTGGTTTTTAAACTTTTCCTTGCTTGCACCCACCCAGAAGATGCCTACAAACGGTAGAGAGACTGCCAGATTGATTGTTTCCCTGGAAGAGCTCTGGCACATTAGTGGCGATGATATTAAAAGGAGAGTGGTGCCCATGTGATGTTTTCACTTCATAGGCTTCTTTAACGAGGTTTCATTTCCCCCTTCATTTTGCATGGTTATCACAAAGGATCGTATTCACAGGTGCCGCTTGTCCTTCGGATCATGTGTATACCATAACTCCTCGGGTGGGAATTGGCCACGTTTCTTATACGTGCCTCGATGGGAACACAGGCGTGTAACTGAATAGTTTGCATTCGACTGTGCACAGTTCAGGTCTTCGGAGCTGAACTGTGCCGTTTAGGTGTATAATATGCACCAGATCTCAGAAGATACTTAATCCATGTGGTGAGAGTTCAGGGTGCGCCTCTGAAAAGCCCGACATCAGTGCTGATGAGGATATTTTCTCTCTTTTCTTAGCTCATTTTCTTTCTTTTTTTTAACCGTGGACATTGGGATGAGAATTTATGGGAATACATTCATTTTCTTACAGTAGTTCTGTTTGGAAAACGTAACATGGACAGAACAAAATTTAGTCAGGCAAATAGAGTTTTTCTTACTGGTCTTTGGTTAAACTGCCAGGCTGGAATATATGCATAGTTATTAAGTGTGTGTATGTATGTTATACTCATACATACACACTTTAATTTGGGTTAAGTATATCATAGTTGAGACCCAAAGAAAAGTAGGAATTTGCTGAGTGAATTAGTATGTGGGAAGCAGGGTGGTGGAGGGATTAGGCTGCTTATCTGAGCTCAGTGATTTAAGTTGATTGACTTGATTAATTGAATGAAATACTTCATAGAGACCACGCTGACGAGCTGCGGGGAGCAGAGGCAGGCAGGGCAGGGCTCAGGTGAGCGTGTTTGGCGGCCTGACCCAGGGCCCGGAGCAGTGGCAGCAGGGGAGACGCTAGGTTCAGAGAATCCAGACGACAAAGTCAGAAGGACTGAGGCGGAAGTCATGGTTCAGGGATGGTACCCACATTTCTGCTTGGAATAATGAGTTAGATTGGGTACCACTCACCAAATGAAGGGGGCGTAAGGGGAGCAGCAAGTCTGGAGGAAAAGGTAAGTTTCCTTGAGTACTTGTTCCGTTCGAGTTGCCCGAGGGACACCCACCTCCAGGTGAGCAGCGAGACGAATGAGCCTGGAGCTCAAAGGAGAGAGCTGGCCGAAGGGAGAAGTTCCGAGTCACCAGTGTACACCGTGTGCAGGTTGTAGTTAAGAGGTGGGTGGGGATGAGATTTGGGGTGAGCAGGAAGAGAGCCAGGTACAGAATCCTGAGGGGCGCCACTATTCCTGATGCTTTTGCTTTGAAGGGAAAAAGCCCTCCAGCTGTAAATTATGACCATTAAAAATTATTTGCTTCCTGTTTCATACGCTAACAGGTACATATTTGTTGCATGAATTTTTTCTAAGCTATATGAGAATTCTCCATATTCAGAAATAAAGAGGGAAATGTGAATGAATTGCACTGGTCGCCTGGGGAGCCTTTCCGGGAACCACACAGGCTGGTGCCATTATTGTGTTCCCTGTGGGCTGGCCCTTTTCCTTCGTCCTGGTGTGATCTGTGCGTGTTTTTGGAACCACATCTAGAAGATAATAGTAAATGAGTTGAAGTTTTTTCAGCAGTGAAAAGGCAGGGCACCTTTACAGGAGTCCTAGGTTCTCCCCGTGTTCACTTATGGCCTGTTTGTGCAGTTTTTAATTTATTTGACAGAAATCTCCTGGGACCCTGTTTTCGACTATGCTCTGTGCTGGTTGATATTTTTACAGATTTTATTTTCAGTTTATTCACATTACTAGTGTGGTAACTTACTAGATAATCGCTTAAGTGTACAACAGGGTCCTGGCAGCTTGAGAGAATTTAATGCTGCATGTAACATTCAAGGCTCCTTTGGGTGAAAAAAGTTTTAAAGCCACTGATCTAAACCACACTTTTGGGGGATTTTGTTTGTTTTGTTTGAGTAAACAAAAGCCTCCTGAGATTAAAATGCTGATGATTTCACACCCAAACCATGCAGAACTGAGGGGCAGGTCCCAGGTCTTACCGTTACTGGGCTCGTCTTTCCCTCTCACCTGGCTGTTGGTACCATGCATTATAAGTGAACTGGAAGAACACCAGATAGGTAGAAGAAAAACTGTAGAAAGCAGTCTTTTGGAGATTTAGCACTAGTCCCACCTGGTGGCTATTTACGTAGTAGTAACTACAATTTTGATTCTCTGTTCAAAATCTAGAACAGTGTCATTGTAAACATTTTAGACATTTCTCTGTCCTTCGGGAATAAGCCTTTTGTTCTAACTTTTTCTCTGCTGTTTTTGTTCCCTAGACTCCCGGCCTTTCCACACCAGTGCTAGCCTGACGGAGAGGTACTGTACATTCGTTTGGCGCTCCTTTCCCCGCAGTGAAGTGAAGGAAATCCACAATGTGTCACTGTATTTCACTAAGTGAACTGAGTGAATTGAGGTCACTGGGTTCTTCCTTTCTCGAGTAATAAATTCAGAACGCTGGTTGGAAGTGGTTTGTAATGAAGCCTGTATCGTTTTTAAATAATGTCTTCAGTTCTTTCTCCATTTCTACTCTTTACACCGTCCTAATGATAAAAAGATTATTGTTCACATTCATTCATGTGAGAAACACTTCTGTTTGATGTTATGAACTTTTTTGCTCTTTGCTTTCGCTTATGGGGATTTTTAATTCTTAAGTCTAATAACATTGTGTGTGTGTGTACACACTAGTCCCCCTTTGTCCAGAGGGTTACGTTCCAAAACCCCCAGTGAATGCCTGAAACCACGGACAATACCAAGCTCTATATATACTATATATTTTTTGTATACATAAATACAAATGATGAAGTTTACTTTCAGCAAGTGATTAACAATAATAAGTAGTATAGTTATTGTTCTAGTTGTATGAACATGGTCTTTCTCAAAGTCTCTTACTGTGCTGGACTCCTCCTCGTGATAATGAGAGATGATACAGTGCCTTTGGCAACAGAACACGGGCATTGTGCGATGCTGTTCTCACATGTTACTGTATCAAACTGGTTTGCGGCCTCTGTCCCTCCCTTACTCCGCCTCCCATTTTCATGGGAGTGCATGAGGTGACTGGCTTGTAGCTGAACTAATATGTTACCAAAATGGTGACAAAGAATTATATAGAAAGTGTTGTAATTTTTAAAAGATAACTTCTCTAGTCTCTTTTTAAAAATACCAATCTTTTTGTTTTTATGTAGTATAACAGAAGAGAGCTACAGCTTCCTGCCACAGAGCCCCTCCAAGAAGGATTCTGAAGGCAAGAGTGGAACGAAAGTCAGTCGTACTTTCAGCTACATCAGGAATAAAATGTCCAGCAGTAAAAAGAGCAAAGTAAGTACCATCACGGGCATTCCTCGTGCGACTCCTGTCACAGCCCGCCTATACCTGAGAGCTAACGAAATCAGGAGGAGGTATGGAAATAAATTCAGAGGTACTCTCTGAAATAGCCTAATATTAAAAAAAATAACAGCAAGAAAAATAAGAGGTAATACCACTAACTGAGTTTTCACCATGTGCTGTGAGGTTTTCATACTTTATCTTACGTAGTCCTTTCCGCAGGCCTGTAAGGTAGAGATGATCTCCCTTTTGTAGGAGTGAGACACTTTACCTGGGTGCATGTGTGCCCCTCATGTGGAGCCAGAGGTTCAAATGCCACACTCTCCACCATGGTGCTTAAATCAGTCATCAGATTTAAAATGCAACTGAGGGGGTTTATGCCAAGATCAGGGGGTTGAAAATATTTATATTCGGGTCTGGAGGTTAGGAAGATTGGCCCCCAGGAAATAACAGGAACTTCTGAAACAAATGTGCCTTCTTAGCTCTGTTCCAATCGAGGAGCATGTTGTAGCGTCTCCTCTTCAGTGCTTAAATGGTGGACATAACCTGTACACGTTTTTGTATAGTTATTAATTTTTTTCGTGCTCATTATAAGAATAATAAAAATAAGAAAAGTCACCTGTAAAAACCCCATGCAGAAATAACTACTCTTCTTTTTTAAAAAAAACACGTATTTTGCAAAGAAAAAAAAGAGGAGATAACTTCCGTGTCCCCCTTCCCGGGCTGGACTCTGCCTCCCGCCCCCGCGGCGCTGCGTTTATCCACCCACCAGCCGCCAGCGAAATGAGACCAAAGCAGAAGTGCTGGGCATGGGTTAGGGAGCTCTTGCCGAGGAAGTACTGCTACACACACGTGTGGGCGTTGTGGGGTGGTATATAAACACACAGGGACATTCTAACACTTAGAAGTAAGGGAGTGAACAGGCCCTGAAGTCAAGAATCCTGTTGTAAATGTGAAGCTCCCCACAATTTTTCCCCCCAACAAACAAAACTACAGGCTTCTGAGGCCCTCGGTTAAGTGGGATGGTAGAAATATAGCCAATGTACTTTACTAGGTCTGTGAATAAAGATCTCTTTCTTTTAGCAAACACTAGGTTTGCTCATCCATCAGAGAAGTGTTCCGCTCAGCCTGCCACCGGAATGGGTTTTTCTCCCTTCTCCGGCCCAGGTATAGACTGGACAGGCGTAGGGCACTCAGGAAAGTTAGAATACAGTGCCGAGAGCCTAGCGAATTGTTTCTAGAATAATTACATATTTAAGTATTGACTTCACACTTCGCCCTGTTTTGTATGTCAGAAATAAGGTTATAGAGGGAAGGATGCTTGCTGGCATTCTCCGTATCTGCAGCCAGGCTTGAAACAGAGCCTACTTATTTTACTTAACACTGCTGGCTTGGACACTGGTTGGCATCAGCAAAAAAAAATTGGGAAAGGTCCACATAAATTAGCCAAATGTTAGTGATTTCTGTAGTCTCAGCATCCTGCTAGGTGCTAACAAGCTCATGGTCTTTCCCTTGAAAAACTTTATCATCTGTTTGGATGATTTCAGAATGCTTTTGTTGTTTTTTAGTTTGTTATTAAAGTCGAATATTTTCCTCAAACAAACTTTTCACTGGAAGAGCAGTGAGTGAGTTGAGATGCCCCCCTCTGTCATCTCCCAGTGACACGGACTTTTGGGCACAGCAGTGAATTCGCTTGTCGCTTGGGCGAGCTAATACAGACATTAACAAAATGATGTCAGACTGAACTTAGAAACTGCAGCCTGACCTTTAAAAAAGTCACCCCATCCTCATTGTACAGAATGAAGCGCAAAGAAGCGTGCCTCAGGTCACAGAACTAGATTATATTAAGGCAGAACCTCGTGGTCTGACTTCCAGCAAGTAGGATTGCATTTCATGCTTACCCTTAAACAAAATCTGTTACTAAACAGTAGCTTTTTCTTTTTAACACCTTTAATAATCTCATAGGCCTGGAGTTTTGCTAGTGGGAGGATGGCGAGAGAGGGCAGGAGAAAAGAAGGTAATTTGTGGTAGAGGGAAGTCTGTCATCACTGGCAGAAATTATATCTGTTGACCTCTGTCAAAATGACAACACTCTTTTGCAATGACATGGTTCCTCTTTCCCTCTTGGCTTCAAGATTCGATCTTTGGGGGCTTGTGCTATGTTAGCAATGGAAACCCAAAAAATTGCAAGTCTGTAACCCTAGATTGCAATCTATTTCATATTCTCAAGTGTTTAGAGTACCCCAGTGGCCATATGTATTGCGAAGTTTAAAAGTCACCTTTCATAATTGTAACTGGCTAACTTTAAATAAGATTGTTTTAGAACCTCCAATAGAATAGTTTAGCTTTTGTCCATGTACCGAAAGATTGTAAGAAATAGGGGAAATACTGAAGCAATACATTTTTAAGTTATATTAAATACCCTGTTTTTATATGTCATTGCACCAACATTAGAGCGTTACCATGCAGAAGTGTTTTATTCTCTAAACCAGCGATTTTCAGCTGTGAGTCAGAAGAATTTTTAAAACATAACAATACCTGACTATTTAGTCAGAGGCACTGACCCCTTTTCCCTGAGGCTGTCAAACAAAAAAAATCACAACAGCCAACACAACAATAGCCGTCTGGTGTGAGTGAATCAAAATTATACCTATTTTTTTGTAGTGCCACAGAATTTTAGTAATTAGTTTATGTTTGCCATTAGATGAAAAAGGTTGAAAATTACTGCTCTAAAAATAACACAAAAATAAATGAATAAATTCTTAGTGTGATGATACTAACACTACTGATTTTCTTAGTTACTGAATGTTACTTTTCCATAATGTTAAAAAACTAGAAATCCTTCTTTCATGAAAATGATACACTTTTACTTTTAAATTATTTTTTAAACAGATACTATTAGAACTCATTTAATCTGTTTTTAGTAATCTATTGTGCAATGTAACCACTCCTGCTACCTTTAAGCATTTACTGAAGATTATATAAATCGACACCTAATTCTTAGTAAGTCTAAGAATGTTCGGAAATTTCTACTTTCCTTATAATTAAGCATGATATAGTTATTAACTGAGATATATTACAGTCAGTAAGTAAATTGCTATGTTAATTTAGAATATGTGATAATGAACAATTGTTAAATAATATTCAGAGGCTCCCAAAGCCAGCCGCAAGGTGGCTGGCAAATGGTTCACATTCCTGGATAATACAGTTTGTGTGTAGCACTGGCCTAGATATGTGTAGGATTAGAAATTGAGAGTAATTCTTCACATGTCCTCTTCAGAATTATCAATAAAGTGGCATGAGTTATTAGGTAAATATATTGGACGTGTTTTTGAAAGGCGGAGAGCGTAAACAGGAAGCACTTGCAGTTTCTGCTTTTGTCTGTTAGTGCCTCTGGGAGAGAGTTTGTTTCCTGCTTAGTAAGTTTGCTTGCTACAGTGTTCAGATGCCAGTCACACTAATTTTCTTTTTCCTAAGCCATCCTCTGCAGACAACTAGGGCATGGGTAGCAACGTTTTAGACAAATTCTTAATGTCACTGATGCCTTCTTTGATTAGAGACCGGCAACACGACAGGTTGCGTAATCATAGCATGTTTCACAGTTGTCCAGAGTGTTCTCTGATTTTTAAAAAAAATTGTTTGTCTGAAACAGTAGGTTTAGAAACGTGAAGCAGTATTTTTCTTCATATCATCCTCATGTAGTTGTTACCTGCATCTTTAATCACTTCTGGCTTCACAGTGAGAGCGTTTTGGTAGTTGTTAAACATGGAAAAGTCAGATTTCAGAAAACAGCCCATCATCACTTTACCACAGGTGACTTCACCAAAATGTTACTTAGGAAGGGAACTGCTTTTTATAAAATGAGGCATCTGTTTTTAAATAGGTAAGATGTATTCCTTAGCTCCCACTGTTAAAAAATTGGCTTCAGTCTTTGCCAGAGTTCCCATCTTGCAGCCTAAGCACCGTCCTCAAGCACCACTTTGCTGGCAGCATTCAAATAGTTAAGCTTGTGTTGAGGAAACCAGCAGCCTCAGCCCTGCCTCCTTCCCTTTCTCAACCAGTCCCCGCTTCCTCTGAGGCTTCTCTGATGGCAGCGCGGAGCTGCTGGGCTCGGCCCCGCGGCATGAGCCCCTCCTCCTGTGAGAGCACATTTCCTGGCATGGGGGTCAGTCATGTCGGTAAAATGGGGTCGGTTTTATGAAGTACCCCAAATAACAGTGAGATTCATAGGATCAAAACATGGGGAGGTAAGAGCCTGGCTTCTTTAAAGCACTAAATTCTAATAAACACAGAGAGAGACAATGGAGTGTATTTTTGTTTTGTTTTGTTATGTTTTGTTTTGTTTTTATCCTTGGAAGAACTGCTTTGGGTTGTTGCAAAGGATGAGAATATTATTTATTATTTATTCAGACTTGAAAATCATTGCCGGGTTTGAGGGAGTAAGTTGCCATAGATTTGTTTTACTCTTGGAGCTTGCGTTAGCTTTCTTGAACAAAAAGTCAGGTGCATTTCAGGTGAATATTTTATGTGTGGAAAAGCCTTCAGCAAAATTGAGCTAAAAGAAAGAAATTACTTGAAAAACTCAATTTTTGTTACTGATTTTTATTTTATGTACTGTAGCGGTTACTAATTTCCACTCAAAACAGTTTCCTGTTTTGTAAACTAAAGTAGAGTAGCTTCTCTCCCTTCCTCTCTTGTTAGTTTTTATAGTTCTAAAGTGTAGCAGTTCAGTGCTTAGACTTTTATCGTGCGTTCTACTAGAAAGGACTTTATGTGAATCTTTGACTTAGCAAACATTCATCGTTTCAGTTCTGAGGAGGAAGTTGGAAGACCTGGGTTCTGCTGATCATTTGCTGTGTGATCTTTTGTGAGTCAACAAACCTCTCCAGTCTTGGCAGGAGAAAGACGTGAATGGGAGCCGAGCTTTAGAGTTGGCCTGATCTGGGTCGTAATCCCAGCTGGGGCATTTATTAGTGTGTGTCCTTAAGTGCAGAATTAGACGTCTCTAAGCCTCATACTCCTCAAATGTAAAATAGAGATGATAAGTCGTACTTAATTCATTGGGTTGTTATGAGAAAAGGCATGTAAATTGCTTGTGCCAGTGCTTGGCACATAGTAACTACTCACAAATCGAGCTGTTATTTATCTTTATTTTCTCAGTTGTAAAAGGGGCAGCATATGGCCACCCTACCTACTTCAGAGTTGCTGAATCAGATGAAATAATGTACGTGGGGGTGTTGATTGAGAATGTCAGGCATTCAGTACTTGTCATTGTCACTGGCTTTGGGGCACTCATTTCCAGGAATTCTTTGATTGCAGCCGTGGTAGTATATTCCCTGGAAAATGGGTGCCCCACAGTGAGTGACGATGACAGCCACTAAATGCATGCTTCCTACCTCTGTGATTTGTAGTTCATGGTCCAGTCGGTTTGAAAGTCAACTACTCAGTTGATATTGATGAACCAGCCGAATGCTCTGCCTGACGGTGCTTCTGTGGGACCTTTGATGGCGAGCACAGGTGCCCCCACGGCCCTTGCCTCCTAAGAGGGGTGTGTCCCTAAAACATCCCTGACTGCTTTAGCTATTTTTTTAAGGGTCTAGCACTCATCGCTGTTTATTAAGTTTTCAAAGTTTAAATTCTTCCTCCCCCCAGGTTGAAAATTGGGCCAAAGTTAATGTCTGTGGACCTTGGAATTCTAATGAGTAAAAACGGCACATGAATGAGTGGGGGTGTTTCCTCTCTCTGGCCAGGGTGAAGGAGACAGCCTCGGACACTGCCCTCACTTGGGGTTTGTGACCGGCCTGAGGAGGCCGAGAGGAGCCTCAGTGATTTTTCTTGCTGCTCGGTCACCTTCCCTCTGCCGTCCTGCCCTGCTCCCTGCCCGCAGCCGGCCCTCAACTCCTTGCGTGTGGCTGTGCCGAGGAGCCTGACTGAGGGGGCCTCTTGCCGCCCCCACCCCTCCTCCAGCATAGAAGCCTCTTCCCGGTGTTGGACCTTGGCCGTGGTGGCTGTCAGTCTAAGTAGCCGCTGAATAAGCCGCTGACAGACCTGCCTGGCCTGACCAGTCGTCCTGTGGTTTTTCACAATTAATGTTCCCAAGTTAACTTGTAAAAAATGGCCTCGGCCAGTGTTCCTCACTTTCATTCAAAGTGTTCACCCAGGTCCCTTGGGGAAAGGGAAGGCCTCCCAGGGTCCGACTGAGCACTGGCTCTTTGCTTTGGCAGGAAAAGGAGAAAGAGAAAGAGAAAGTCAGAGAGAAGGAGAAGGAGTCCAAGGAGAAGGAGAAGAAGGTCCTCAACGGCCACGCGTTCAGCCCCATCCCCGTCGTGGGCCCCATCAGCTGCGGCCAGTGCGTGAAGCCCTTCACCGGCCGGGACGCCTACACCTGCGCAAGTAAGAGGCGCCCTGCTCCCCCCGCGCCGCGGGCTCGCGCCTCCTCTCCTGTGCATCCCACCCCTCTCCCTCGTCCACATGGAGGCGTCGTCCTTTTCATGTTTCCCTTTAAGCGTCGTTGAAGAAGTGCATCGAGGTGTGGCGCAGAGAGCCTGTCTGTTTTCTCAGAGAGCCCCAGTTTCAAACATTCTGTTCTGGTTTCCCTAAGCCACTGCCTATTCCAGAAGCCTGTGTCAGCATCGCAGCAGCCTCGTAGGCCCCAGCCGTAAAGCCACCAGCAGGCCCATGGCAGGCCATCGTGCTCGTTTTTGCTGTGGTGCTTGGGTATAGGCTTCAGCCACCTGCCAACAGCGTGTCACGCAGACTGCCAAGGGAGGGTACCTTTGTGCAGGGTGTTCCATGCTGACCTATCGCCGACCTGCCGAAACCACCTGGAAGCCAGTCTGTTCACTGAGCATGGTTCCGGGTGTTGATAAGATGCTGCCCTGAGACAGAGGTCAGCTGACTGTTTCTGTCAAGGACCAGATAGCAAGTATCTTCGAGTTCACGGCCGTGCTGGTGAACTCTGCATCTTAGTGTAAAAGCAGCCGTAGACAATGCATAAACCAGTGAGCATGTGTTCCAGTAAAACGTCATTGATGGACAGTGAAATTTGCATTTCATGTAATTTTCATGTGTCATGGCATATTAGTTTGTTTTTTCCGACCACTTAAAGATAAAACCATTGGTAGGTCAGGAGCCAGCTTTGACGCATAGGCAGTCACTTGCAGATCCCTGCTCCAAGGCACTATGTCTAAAAGTTTTGTCATTACACAGATAGAAAGTAATCATGTTTGTAGCACATACCAAGGTAAGTTAAGGAGGCTGTTGTGCCACAGGTGACCCGTCTGGAGATCAGCTGCCAGTCACCCAGAGGGCTCAGGCAGTTAGCATCATGTGGTACCTGTAAACAATTCAGACTAAATGGTGACTAATCAGACTCCAAGAAGCACTTCTTAGACCATGATGTCATGACATTATCTTGTTTTTGGTCATTTGTATGGAGTATCCCCAGTGATTTGTTACAAGAAATAGTTACCTTATTGAAACTGGAAATTTTTTAAAGTTTATTCTAGCAGATTCAGAGTTACTGCAATAACAATTTCGAGTCTCTTTTTCTGAGTAGAACAGCTAACACATAGCCCACAGTGTACCTTATCTGTGCTACAGTGGCAGTGACTTTTTAGGACTGGCTATGTCATTCACATTCTTATAAAATGACTTCTGTGTATATATTGTACCCCAAATGTTGTCTGCAGCCCTATTTGCTTTACTCTTCTATTTTAATAATAATAATAATAATAATAGTAAACCTCTTGGGGACTCTCATCTGAACCTTCAGTCCTCCTTGTGGGCAGATATTACACACATTTTTCTCCCTTCGTGTGTGACTTACCAGCAAATTGAGAACTCCAGCGTAATAAGTTTTATGTGACCTCTAGGAAATGAGAGCCTGTCACTGTCCAGTATCATCCAGTGTTTTTTATTGTGGAGCCCGGGTTCTAATAGGACTCATTCCGAGAATGCCCTTTGAATGTCTCAGTCAGCTTCTCAGTAATGGAATAATTTGGTTGCCTAGGGCAGTAGTCACCAAGCACTTTTTAGTATGCTTATCTGTCATTAAAACATTCTTAGCCTTTACACACAGGGTATATGTATTTAACATAAAAAATTACATACAGGCCCTATCTATACTTATAGAGAGCTCATTCTGGGAATAAGAGAAGTCAGATTTGCTATTTTCTTGTTTGCTGGTTATTAATGTTGTTTATATTCACTCTTAGAGTCATAGTTTCTTTGCAGGAATTTGGACACTAAATATGATGCATAAGTTCACTTATTCAGCACCTATAAACTTCCATTCTCATAGCATCAAGTGCAAAGAAATGAGGAAGTGGGGGTGCCTCTGTCACACATCCCAGCCCCCCTCCAGGTGCCTGTTCTTCCCTCTGGAAACCTCTAGTGTCACCTGTAAAGTGGAGCTGCCCAGCAGACAGGCTGAGTGAGGCACCAACATATCAGCCCATACAGTAACTCCATTTCTCCTTAACCAGGATGAATGAAAGCTGTAAACTTTGCCTCCTGTCTTCCAGAAAAATCACTTTGTGAATCCCTCCTGCAAAGTACCTGTTCTCCATGTGGGGAGCACTGGTCTTGGAGAAAAACATGGAGAAGTCGTATATCTTGGTTGGCAGTATGAAATCGAAAGACTCAGAAAGGAACAGTTTGGTAGGGCCTGATTGTTACCATTATGCACCTAAGGTTCAAAAATACATTTTAAATTTGCATACCAGCGCCCCTCAAACCGAGGCACTCCTTGCCTCAGCTGTAGCTTAGCACTCAGTTCCAGAGGCAGTGCTGAAATGGGCTCAGCATTTACTGGCGGCATTAAGGTCGGCATGTGACAGTGTGCTCAGCCTGCCACTTAAAAAAGATGAGGGGAAGTCAAGGCTTGAGAGGAAAGGAACAGCGTGTGGTCATGTTCCCAAGGAAGCAAAAGCAGTAATGTAACTCGCTGATTCTCTCCAGCTTCCTGAAGAACAGCCTGCAGTGAGTACCTGTGCGTATGAAGCACCGTCTCTTATCTCGGCAGGAAATGGAAAACATGAGTACTGTGGTGACTCGTATCTTTTTTTCCCTTCCCTCCATCCCCTCTCATGTTCAGGATCTTCCCAGGAATCTCAAGAAACGTAGCAGCCCTCCAGTTGGTCATTTGCCTCCCTTGTGCTCTCAGCTTCCCCTCATATAACTCTTTCTGAGCCCTGAGCCTTGTGCGGTGAGCAGCTCTCAGCCGGGTGTGACTCGTGGTTTAGAAAGATCAGCTGTGCAGCGTGATGGTGATGTGATGGTGGGCACTCGCCTGCTGCCAGATGTCTTTAGTCCACTTTAAGATTCTTTTCTGCATGCAAATACTAAGTGTTTCAGTAGGACATCATGTTTTAAAGCAAATCAACATCTCTTGACTCCACTGGAATTAAAAGCTGAGTCCCTTATGCAGACTTAGGTGGAAATGGTCATGATCACAGACACCGGGAAAGGCAAGGAGCAGAGCCTCCAACATAGGTCCTTTGGAGCCTACTCTGGGGGGCGGGGGGACAACAGAGAGCAAAGACTGAAGCCCCTCATCAGGACCTCAGAGTAATGTAGGAGAAACCTGGCAGGTTTTTTGTTGTGTTTCATTGCTGTTTTTTTTAGCCAAAACTCAGCTCTTGATTTAGGATCAGGTCCCCTTAATGGGGAGAGGAGAGCAGAGCCTTCAATTCTCCTTTCTCCAGTTACGTAAAGCTTCCCTTGAGCAGGCGGCTGTTCTTTCCAGCGGCCACAAGTAATGTGGTCTTTGGAATGCTTGGCGGAGTCCTTCAGAGGAATCTGTTATGTTTGGGTTTTTGGATCTGGCCAGTGGTTCTGTTTTGTTTGCTTTAAACAGATGTAAAATGATATTGAGATTATTGTTGATTCATTTTCTGTTGTGTTAGCAGCTTCTGAGTACTTTTGTGGTCGGCTGTTTCTCTTGATTAAAAAAATAAACAAGTAGACCAGCTGCAATCTAAGTAGGAAACCTAAGAGTTTAGACTATGTGTCATGGTTGGGGTTTTGCTTTGGGTTTGATCTGGAAAGACAGCTTTCTAGATAGACGTTTTCTGATCTTTCCAGTATCAGGACTACGTTCCTTACGTAAAATAGTAAAATACAAGTGATTGATTAAAGAAAAGAAGTCATTGTTTAGGGAAAAGGGAGATTTGAAAGACGAGCCTAATAAAGTCATTTTTTCCTTAAGTGGAGAGAGCACTTTCATTTTGTGTTCTTTTCTAATTAACTGAATTTTATTTATTTTCTCTTAAAAATACCAATGTACAGGTTGAAGTCCTAGATGTCTGAACTTGGTGATGATCCTTAGCCACAATAAGCCAGAAAAAAAATGTTTCTACATGTTTCATACCAGCTCCCCATCTCACTGCAGCATTTTGTTTCATTTTTGTTTACCAGCGTTCTTATGAAAACTGCTGTTTCATGAGCACTTCAGCTCAGGTGATCTGGCTCTGTTTTGTGGCCTTCCTCTTGGTCTGTACATTGGCACTGTGGCTGCTACCCCAGCTTTCAGGCGCATCTGCCAGGCCTTTGTATCTAAGCTCTTTTCGTCCAGACCAGGCAACCTCTCTCCCCGCAGAGATGTTTAACAGGACGTGGCAGAAAGAATTTTAGAGCATGCATTTCTAAATTGCTCATATTTAAGTGTTTTTTGTTGCTTGTATTGTTTTAGTTTGTGTGGTTAGATTGGAAGGATGCACCTTTCTCTCCATAAGTAACGTAATTCTTTCTTTAACCTGGATTTCCACCGGACTGATTTTGCTGCTCAGATCTGTCCACTAAGTAGAACAATGAGAACTAATGATCAATGGACGAGTTATCACAAAACCCCTTCCTTCAGGGCCCTGACTTTGTAGAACTCAAGAAGGTGAGTCCTTCCTTTGGTGGGCAGCCCCTGAATGTTCGCTCCCGTCTGGAACTTTAGTTCATTTCGGTCTGGCCACTCCTCTTAACCGTTATAAAGCCGCTTTTCTTAAGAGAGTCTCATTGATGGGCTGTTTTTTTTTCTGCTGAAAGAGAAAGAATGTTCAGTATATAGCAGTTAACCGAAGGGTTGAGTTGGTTGATGGCAGAGGTTGAAGAGAGCAAAAAAGCAGCAGTTCCCCAGTGCTGCGGGGTTTCCTTTCTTCCCTTTTGTTCGATGCTGCTTCTCCCACTGGTGGCAAAAGAAGTTGAAGTCTGGGTTGTTTGCTTTTTAAGTTGAGAGGAGTCTAATTAGGATTCGGCTCTGTTCGCATAAGCCTCTGTGCCAAGACCTCTTTGAAGAACTTTGAAAAATGAAGGCATATTGCTTACTGCTATTAGGAAATCGTCTGTAAAAATAAACAAGAGGCCAAATAATTCTTTGCCCTCCCTAACAACAAGATATGGTTTGTGACACAGAGCTTGAAAATGTATTAGCCTTGTCTCCAATTCTTGTGTTCTTGGTAAATGTCTATTTTCCAAAACAGAGAGTAAGGTTTTAGCCTCATGACTTTGGCTGATGTCGGCGGGGCCACAGTTTCTAAATCACCCACGCACACCACTAAAACCCTTGCTGTGAACTGAGTCCAGGGCAGCTTGGAAACAAGTTGAGTGGTTTTCAAGTAGGTACTTGAGTTTGTTAAGCAGATGTCCATCCAAAGTATCACTAAGATTTGTGACCATATTATAGAGCATATTAAAAACTCACCTGGGTTGTGGTTTTGGGGACATGTCTCAAAAAAGTGAACATGTGTGAAAAGTTGTTTACTAGAAGCTTTATTTTAAACATCATTTCTGCCTTTATGATTCATCAGTTGGAGTTGTCTTGAACATTGGCCTGAGAACTTGAGTATTGCTGATGTCTGTTTAAAGCAACAGCACCACTCGCTCAGAGGCTGCGTCGCTTGGTTCTCTGTGGGATGATGGAACTCTCTGGGAGGAAGGAAACAGATGCAGCCTGACTGCAAGTGCTGCTCACAGTGTGCTCGTCTTTCAGTTTTGTAGATGAGAATTGGTGACAAGTTCTCAAGCAAGTCCACTGCTTCCTGTGTTGCCCTCAGATGCCTAAAATACTGATTTTCATCAAAACGAAAGAAAATGCACTTTTGTAACTGGAACATAAGACAAGAAAACCTAATTGAAAGTTGTTTTAATTTATCACAAATGTGATTGATACGTTTTAAAGAATAAGGAACTGTTTATAAAGAAATACAGGAGAGAACTGGGAGCAATAACAGAGTTTTGACTGAGATAAAACCTTCCCGGTTTCCCCTCTTGGTTTCCCGAGTGAACCTTTCCCAGGAGCGTGTCTCCTCATGCTGCTATTGCTAAATGAACTTGGGTGTCTCTTTTGGTTGGTTAATGTTAAAAAAAAAATTTCTTGTGCTCCTTTTAAAAAATTGTTGATATCTCACATACTGTAATCCAGATTGTGTCGTGACAGTTGGCTTTTGGGTAGAATTAGACTGCAGTCTAAAGTGGACACTTGAATCGGCGCCATGAGCCAGCACTGCACTAGAGGGTCCCTGAAGATTCGGCAGTAGATGAAGGCTCCCTGCCCTGCAGGGGCGTCCAGGGGAGGAGAACCTGTAAGATAATCACAGTGCAGTGCGAGTGGTCACGTTAGGGAAGAGACCTGTGGACCACGTAGGCACTGAGGAGCAGCTGTTGAGGAAGGGGTGGGGGAAGGCCTTTGGGGTCTGGGATTCTGACGGTCTCCGTCCTAGTATCATCCCCTCCCCATCACTCTATTCCCCCGCCCTCCCGCTCTGCTCCATCCACATGTCTGAGCTAAGAGAACGTCTTGACCCATAGTTAGGGAGTTGACAAAGGCAGGAGCTGTGGCACTTCCTGAATCTGTGTGCAGCGTAGCTTAATGAATGGCATCTGGTTGATTTTCTCAGGCTGTCTGTTCCCTGGAGAGGTGGTTGTCATTGGGTGTCCCCACAGACGGACATTTTGCTTCTAGTCCACCTCTGGCCTTCCTGGCACAGTTCTGGTTTCTCACTTCATGGCTGCAGTGAGCGCCGGTGACCCTTCTGAGGCACAGAGGGCTGGGTTTCTACATCACTGGCCGTTAGGCCCAGAGAGTGACAATAAGAGTTGAGATAAAATCGTGTCCTTGGCAAACTGTGGTCTCTGCTTCGTCTTTCAGGAAGTCTCCCATTTTTTCTTGAGTCAGGGCTCCCAGAGGTGCTTCGGGTAGTTCTCATTACCTTTCTTCCGGGCCTGTTTCCTTGGGGTGGGTCCCAGGTTAAAGGACCTAAACAGATTTTCCAATTCACACTCTGCCTTTGACTTAGCCTACACATTTCATAGCCCCTTTGACGGGGGCTTTATTGATGTATTACTGTGGTCAGACTTGCATATTGATGGCAGACACTTTTAGTTTTAGTTTTGGTAGCCTTTCGGCTTCCTGCCTGAGGAGTTCCAGACTTCTGGTCTTTGTTAATCAGAAGTCACATCTGCTCCTGTTTTCCCTCCTCCGAGTGACATGACACGCCTGCTTCCCAGAAGGATTGCAATCTGTGCTGTTGTCAGTCACATTCTGACATGTGAGGACTTCACTCTACTGGGGCCACAAGTCAGAACCTGGGATCTGTTTGTCTTCTTAATGTCACCTTGGTTGGTTTTTTTGGTTTTTTTTTTTTGCTTTTCAGATTGCAGTGCTTTTGTCCATAAAGGCTGTAGAGAAAGTCTGGCCTCCTGTGCAAAGGTCAAAATGAAGGTAAGACATTTCTGACTAAACCAATAAAATCTTCAGAGCTGGGAGAGTTGAGGTTGTGGGTTTTGTTTCTTTTAATCACTTGGTGCTTTTTCTCTCTTAAGTAATTTACTCTCTTTCCAATTAACACACTTGGGATTCTGTGGCTTTTGGAAAATAAAATGTTTTCAGAACTTCTCCATGTTCAGTCTGCATTTCTCTGAGGTTCTCTTTGTGGCACCGTTAGGGTGGTTTTCTTAGCCTTATCTGCAGACCTTCTCTGCTACTCACACACTGGCTTCCTCGTTCAGGACCCTGAGGGTGGCAGATGGGAGTCAGGGGCTTCGCCGTGCTGGTGGACTGGGGAGTGCTGGGGTTAGATGCTTGTCTGGCAGCCCTTTCCTCGCAGGGTTCATAGAGATGGCTCTGATCAGATGACCCGGATGGGAAGTCCCAGCTGCCTGGCGGTACCTGCTTGGAGCATGCATGCTGAGTAACTGTGTAATCATGTGCACTGCTTCTCAGGCAGCCCTTAAGAGAAGAGTGTGGGTTAGGGGGATAGCCTTCAGGCAGCCTGTGTGTTGGAGTCACCCACAGTCCTTTTGTTCCTCATCTGAAGAGTACTGGTATCTGGCTTTTCAGTCCTTAAATGTTGAACAGATGGATGGCAAGTGGTCACCCACTGGAGCTGAGGGACTGCTGCCTCCTGTAGGCACAGTGCCACCTCCCCCTACCCCCACAACTTGCCTCTGTCATTTGTTACTTGCCTGACACCATAGGGTTTGAGTTTGTGATCTCAGATAAGACTTATCACTATTGTGAATGTATGAGGTTCTGTAGAAAAATAAGGAGATATAGTATCTCCCGTATAAGAGAGTATAACCTAAAAGGGGGATTTCCTTTTCAAATTGGAAGTGACCTGTTTTCACTCATGAATTATCTCAGACTTACTGCTTCAGTCTGTAATTTCTTAAAGTGTGGCTGTTACATGCTACAAGAGTCTTAACTAAAAATAATACTTCACCTAAGAATTATTTAGCACCTTAACCACATGCTAGTCTAGTCACTGGAGAAGTAGAAGAAAAAAAAAAGGCATAGATGTAGGTGCTGAGGGACCAGCCTGCTAGTGGGGACTGTGGACGAGCAGACAGTGTGCGCAGGATGCCGAGGGGGTGCCAGTCACTGCCGCAGGTGAGAAGTGAGAACTGGTGGATGGCTTTGCCATGGAGACCATACTCAGATTGTCATGAGATAGAAGAGTGTCCTGCCTGTGAAGGCGAGATCATTCTAGGTGAAAAGAGCATCTGTGGAATCAGTGTGGCAGGCTCAGAGGAGAGCCGGTGGCGGGGACCGTTGGCAAGGGGCAGAGCAGGGAAGTAGGAGCAACTGGCTGTCTTTCTCCTCCGGGCTTCTTGAAACTTGACAGAAGGTAAATAAAAAATGCAGCCCTTCCCGGCCAGGCGTGGCTCAGCGGTTGAGCCGTCGACCTAGGATCCAGGCGATCGGGGTTTGATTCCCTGTCAGCGCACATGCCCGGGTTTGCGGGCTCGATCAGTGACTCTCATCATTGATGTTTCTATCTCTCTCTCTCCCTCTCCTTTCCTCCCTCTGAAATCAGTAAAGATATATTTAAAAAACAAACAAAAAAACAGCCCTCACGTGTCTATTTTCTCTCTCTTCAGCAACCCAAAGGGAGCCTTCAGGCGCATGACACGTCCTCGTTGCCCACAGTCATCATGAGGAGCAAGCGTAAGTAGCTCAGCCTGCCCCCTCGTAATTCTTCCTGACTCTGGGGTTCAAGACTTAAACATACTTATGTCATACTCATTTGTTATTAATCAAGATTTGAATACCTATCTGTAGTAAGCTATAGAAGGCTGCAGATTTACTGACCAGAAGCTTTACATTCTACCGTCAAACTCCCTTGGAAGGCTATCTGGTTAACGTGTGTATTAGCTTGAAAGGCAGCGCCACGCCCTGTGGCCCAGCTGGTTGAAGCTTCGTCACGTACCCCGGAAGGTCGCAGGTTCAGTCCTTGGTAGGGTGCATGTGGGAGGCAACCGATCGGCATTTCTCTCTCACATCAGTGTTCCCCTCCCTCCCTCCCTCTCTCTTTCTTTCTCTCTCTCTCTCCCCCTTCCTCTCTGTCTAAAAAATAATCTGTGAAAACATATCCTTGGGTGAGGATTTAAAAAACACAAAAACCACCGTGGCCCTGTGTGTCTAAGCAAGTGGTCCCTGTGCATCTTGAAATTCCTTCAGTGAGGAAGTTGACAGATCTGCTTTTTATGCCCCACAGTTGCATGAGCCAAACGAGATCTTGCTTATTAAACTTAAAAACTGTGAAGTTTTTTCTTTTTCGAAGACTTCAGGTGGTCCACGTAATAGCGGAGATCATACTCCCATTCACATTGGGAGATTTCCACCAGTCTCTGCAAGGCTCCGCTGTGGTTATACTTAATATATTTCCCTCTTTCTTATTAATAATTTTTTATTTTCCTATTACAGTTAACATACAATATTGTTACATTTCCCTTTTTTATCCTCCATCCCCTGGGACTCCTTTCCCCTCCCTAGGGCCTCCTGTAGTATGTCTGATATATATCTTCTAGTCTGGCATATGGATATCTCTGAAAATACCCATTCTACTTTTCCCCCCACTCAATATCATTTTGAGATCGATGCATGTTACAGTTTGCAAGCGCTTGTTTCAGACTGCTGCTTGGTGTTCTTTCAGAAAGATATACCATATTTTAATTACCAGTTCCCCTCAAGACAGATATCTCAGTTGTTTCCAACTATTGCCATAAATAATGCGGTGAAGAGTATCATCTTAATTGGCTCTGTGGGAACCTGTGTGCGACTTACCCTAAGGTGGCGTTTTTCAAGTGTAGTGCCTGGATTAATTGGAAGTGCAAATTCTTGGACTCTACCCAGACCTACTAGGTCAGAAATTCTAGAGGTTTAGCCCAGTGGTCTGTGTTTTAATAAACCCTCTCAGTGGTTCTGATGCACACTCAGGCTTGAGAACCACTGCTCTGTGCAGGCTCACCTCGTTTTATTGCACTTGGCTATATTATGTGCTTCACAGATGCTGCCCTTTTTACAAATTGAAGGCAAGACCCTCCACAACAAAAAGATTGCAACTCACTTTGTCACGATACCCACTTTTTGGCGGCGGTCTAGAACCAAGCCCACATTATCTCTTAGACCTGCCTGTACCTATTTGCTCTAAGCACTTCCAGATAGCTCCAGCAGGGCTGTACCAGTCTGTACTCCCACAGAGGAGTGTGAATTCCCTTTAGATATACAAAGTCCCAGTTACTGTCAAACTTTGCATGCAGATGAATGAGAGAGAAGTTCTGTCACTTTAGCCAGTGATCCAACCCATTCTAACACCTTTTACAAGTCTCGTTTCTTTAACTTCTTCTTCTGTAACATCCCTCATTTTAGAAGCCTGTTTTCTTTCACATTAGATAAAATAACATCTTTTTAAAAATACCTGTTATTTGCCGTATTATGTATATCATCTCTGACTCCCGCAGTATTATTCCCGTGTCACTCTGCCGAGGCAGTTTCGTGGTTAGGAGCCCAGACTGTGGTTTCGGGCTGAACGGTGGGGGTCTCCTCATCTCCATTGAACAGCCATGTAACCGGGGGCATGTGCTAAGCTCCCCCATGCCTCACTTTCCTCTGTAAAAGGGTGAAATAGTATCAGCGGTGGGGGGCAGGTTTAAGTGAGATCAGCCCTGTGAAGTACTTAGTAGTTGGCCTTCTGAAGTCTTAGCTTTTGCCACTAACGCCATCATCACAAATAGGCAGGCTCAGAGGTACGCAGTAACTTACCTGAGTGGAGATGGATTGGTTTCAGGCGAGGGAAAGCTGGTACTTTCACCCTCTGTGAAAGTAAAGTTCCGTGTAACCTTCTGTGCCCTGCATGGATGACTTCATCTTGCTCTCTGGACTTCTCACCCACCCCTTTGGCACATCCCGCTTGCCGCCTCCTTACCTCTTTTACCTTAATACTCAATGCTGCATGGTTATTTCTGCCTGCGTTCATTCAGGTCCCTTCGCCAGAATGGCCTTTCCTCCCGACCTGTCCATACCCTTACTGTTCCTCAAGAACCAGGGTTTCTTCCTCCATCAGATTCGATCTGGTCACCAACTCCCTCCTGACACACCAGGGTGTGCTCCAGGCTCTTGCACACTTGAGCGGATTCTGGTTTCTGTTCGTTGCCCTTAGTCTCTGTTGGGTCAGGGCCCTTGTGTGCTTCCTGCAGGAAGGATCTGGTCGTGTTATAGTGTAGCGTGGTTCTGGTATTTTATTGTGCCACTTTCTAAATAGAATTTGAATTGGAAGTTAATGATTTTGTGGATATTTATTAAGTCAAAAACATCCTGAAATACTGTGAAGTCATAACAGCTGCCCCAGTCTTACTTCCTTCAGCTCCTGACGCTCCTGGGGATGGAGTCATAATGCAGTTCATATCTGGGGCAGGAGCTTACTTACCAAGGAAAAATCATTTTCTACCCGAATGCCAGTGTGACCACTTTAGCATAAAATTAAAGCCCCAGGTTCCTCTTTGGTCGTGTTCAGGAGAAATTTGCAGTTTGAGAACAAATGAGCTATATGATGTTAAACAAGCTTTGCATTTCCCTCATCTGTAAATTCAAGGATTCTGGTCAGAATCTGTGTTCTCGAACAATGTGCGGAAGAATCATTTGTGGAGCTCGACCCATGTGTAGACCTCCTGTTCCCACCCCCAGAGGAAGAGGGGGCTGGGAATTTGCATATCTAAGGGCAACTCAGCTGCTCCTGGCAGGCACCCCCAGAGAGCACTGGCCTCAGTTATCTCTAAGGTCCCTTTTATCCTTACAGTTCTTTCAACCTTACTTTAGTTTGAATTAGCTTAATGTTCACATATATAATATTTTCACACAATTCTTCATTCTCGCTGACTAATTTCAGTCCCACCCTATAGGTAATAACTCTTTTTAGTTTCATATTTACCGTCAAGTTTCTTTCTTAAAAATAAAGGAAATACCTATTTGGTTTATTTCCTTTTAAAAAAAATCGCAGTAGCCCAATTGTGCATTTTATTCTACACCTTGATTTATTTTCCTCCTTAATATATTATCTTTGACATCTGTGTGAATTCATGGAGGGTGTCCTCATTTTTAAAGATCTGCATACTATTCCATTGCATGGCGTACCATGATTTATTAATGCATCTTCTTTTGATACTCATTTGTGTCATTTCACACACAAACAAAGTATATCTTCTGGAATAAACATATCCCGAAATGAAATTACTGGATCAGAGTGTACAGGCATTTACAATTTTAATAGATACTGTCGAGTTGTCCTCCATAGAGCTTTTCACCCAGTCGCATGCCTGGGGCACATCTGCGTTAGGGCAGTTTGCTTCTCTTCGGCATTTGTCAGGTGAGTGCGTCCTGGTGGGCGTGGCTCAGTGAGGCATCAGTTGGTGTCTTCTCTTCCTTTGCAGCCTCGCAGCCCAAGGAGCGCCCTCGGTCCGCAGTCCTCCTGGCTGATGAAACCATTGCCGCCCCTATATTTGCCAACAGACGGTCCCAGCAGAGCGTGTCGCTGTCCAAAAGTGTCTCCATACAGAACATTGCCGGGTGAGTGGGGATTCAGAGATAGCACAGTTGACATCTAGGTGATGAGTGTAATCATACCATTTGACAGTTTCATTTTTTTACTAAAAATGTGTAAGATGATGGGTTGTGGAGCAGCACACTGGAGTGATTCAGATGAGTATAGGATTACATTTTGATCTGTCAGGGCTGCCATTCTGTAACAAGGATCCCCTTTAAACACCATCATTGGGCCCGGTTATCCTCTGCTTTTGTACGTGATTACCCCGCTTCTAAAGCCCCTGAGTTTTGAAAGGGTTATTCCTAAATCAAAAGAAAAAGTAGGAATAGGAAAAAAGATGATTTAGTTCTGAATAGTTAGTTGCAACCACTAATGTTTTAGACATCACACTTTCCTATTGGTTAGATGAACCTGGTCTTTTGGTTTCTATTTTAATTTGTTTTCTCTCCTTGCCTCTGGACTCTTAGGTCAGTTCTTTGGGCCTGAATAATGGGCCAGTTATTACTTGTAGGTTCCCACCCACTCATGGGCACCGGCTTCCTTGTGGGATCCCTACAAAAGTTGCTATGACCCCTGAGTGTTGATGCCTCATGATTAGCGCAGGGCTGATTGTGATGTTACTGTTCTGGGTGAGATGCCTGACTTCCCATGAAATGTAGGACTCACAAATCTGGCATCTCTCGTAGCCTAGGATGGAGGAGAATCCTTACCCAAGGATGTAAATCTCCTTTTGTCTTTCTTTTTTCTTTTTTGGTGTGTGTGTTTTATTTATTTTTAAAATATATCTTTATTGATTTCAGAGAGAGGGAGGGGAAGAGAGAGAGATAGAAACATCAGTGATGAGAGTCATTGATCGGCTGCCTCCTGCACGCCCCCTGCTGGGGATCGAGCCCGCACCCGGGGCATGTGCCCTGACCGGGAATCGAACCTCGATCTCCTGGATCCTAGGTTGATGCTCAACCACTGAGCCACACCGGCCAGGCTGTCTGTATTTTTGAACCTCTGTGTTGGCTATTGTTTCCTCCTCAAAAAAAAAAAAGTTCCAGGTATTTTTATTTTTTTTCTTTATATTGTCATTATGTAAAAGGCTTCTTTTCCAAGGCATCAAAATTGGTTTGTTTACATTGTGACTTTAAAGGCTTGCTACTGTCTCATATCACAGACAGTTACTGGGTGCCTACTGTGCTCGCTTCTGTTGGGGTCAAGAAAACAAAAGAATAACCAATGTCACCCCAGTAAATTTAATAAAAATTTTTTAATTAAAAAAGAATACAGTTTATTATAAGTGCTCAGTCTCTAGTTATTTAGGGAACAGGAGGAAAAGCGCGGTGGTTAGACAATGAGTTTCAAATAGATGTTTCTTCTGTAATTTGTACACCGTTTGCGGGGAGAGTGTTTTTCCTACCTATCATTTAAAAAAAAATCCAAGGCTCAATAAGTTCAAGTTTGCAGCGATGTTAAGTGCTTTTAATCATTATAATTCTTGTTGCTGGGCTCCCGACATAAGCAATTTGTTTGCGCTCATGGTAGTGCATCTGGCCACCTGTCACTGTAGAGTTGTCCAGGCCCCAGGACCTCACTGGAGAACGTATGCTGCACTCAGCCGAGTGTACCTGATGTGCTTTTCTTTGTCCCCAGAGTTGGCAATGATGAGAACATGTCAAGCACCTGGAAGTTCCTGTCGCATTCAACAGACTCACTCAATAAAATCGTCAAGGCCAATGAGTCAACAGAATCCCTTACTGACGAGGGTAAGAGGGAGTTATGCCTATACTATATTTCCTGTAGCGATTGTGCCATTTCATTACCTAGACTAGAAGCATTGTTGGAATAATAGTGCCTGTCTCTTCCTTACTCCTGTTTAGATTCTCTAAGTTGTCTATAAAGCATGCAGTGCTTTATAATAAATTGGTGATCAAACATACCCAGTTGTTAGGTAGCTGTCCTTTGAAAGGTGCCGTTGCCTTTAATTCGGTTATACTCTAGTGCAAAGGCTTCTTACCCTCCTGGACTTGAAGGTCTAGCTCTTGGCACAGTTGTAAGCCTGCCGTCCTAAACAAGCAGCGTTACCAGGCCCCTTCCAATTCCTACTTCTGGTAGGAATCGCGCCCCAATCACATTTGAGTTGGGTGATGTTTATCACTCTTGGCTGAAGCCTTGAATGGAGCTGGTCGCTCCCAAACAAGAGATGATCCTTTACTCACCCTGGAGTGTGGTTCTATGACTACCCCCGGGATTGGTGCAGCATTTGTGTCCTAGGAAATGATCACACCAAGGAAAGCACAGGCTTTTTAGAGGTCACAGACCAAGGTTCTGATCCTGATGTTTTGATACTCTGAGGAGTAGGTACAGACATGAATGAAGGACAGCTAATGGGAGACTTTGAGATGGAATCCAAGCAGCTGGAAGCAGAGTCCTGGAGTCGGATAGTAGACAGCAAGTTTCTGAAACAGCAAAGGAAAGATGTGGTCAAGCGGCAAGAAGTGATCTATGGTGAGATTCTTCCTTTGCTCTGCCAACATTTGATGTGCATTGTCCAGAATGTTCTATCGGGTAATTTATTGGGCTATGGAGAGTCAATTTTCAGCTGTGTAGCATCTCAAAGATTTTCTCATGAAACTTGGAGGTGTAGAGACAGACCTTCTTTCTGTCTTCCTTCTCTCTTTAAAACAATCCTGTTTAACGTTATTGAACACTTTATTTAATATGAGTGCTTATTTATGCACCAGGCCTGGCAAGACATCTGTTGGGCAGTTTGATTCCTCCACTACACTAGGGGCTAGACACTGTTTCCTGTTTCTAGGAAGTAGAAACACAGTCAGTTATGAAAGATTTCACTTCCAGTGAAGACTAATTTGGAAACCACCAGAGGGTGAGGGCATCCAGTATGCCTGCAGCCAGTCATGTGAGGAAGGGAGGGAAAAGAAAACACTTCAGGGAAACATAGCTATTGACCCAGTTTTAAAGTTAAAATTGGGCTCTGAGTAGCCATGAGACGAAGTGGGGCTGATCATAGCAGCAGGCGATCTGGGGGTGAGGGTCCTTGTAGCAGAGTCTTCCTGACCACCAAGCTTTGTCCCTGTCAGAGCTGATGCAGACAGAGCTGCACCACGTCCGCACGCTCAAGATCATGAGCGACGTGTACAGCCGGGGCATGGTGACGGACCTGCTCTTTGAACAGCAGATGGTGGAGAAGCTGTTCCCCTGTTTGGACGAGCTGATCAGTATCCACAGCCAGTTCTTTCAGAGGATCCTGGAGCGGAAGAAGGAATCCCTGGTGGATAAAAATGAAAAGAACTTTCTCATCAAGAGAATAGGAGATGTGCTTGTAAATCAGGTGAGCGGGGGGCGGGGGGCGCTGTGGGCTTCGGCAGCCGTGCACTCACATCTCGCTGTAACATTGATTACCCTTGTGCACCCAGGCAAGTGGGTTTTCTCTCTGAGCCTCAGTGGCCTTTTCTGTAAATGAGGACGGTAGCTTTTCTCTCCTGCTACTGTGTTTAAAAGTTAAACGGGATGTGTATATAAAGTACCTAGCATATACAGTACATACTCAGTAAAAGTCAGTTTTTCTTCCTCAGAGTTTATACCAGGAGAAACAGTATAGCTTAAATTAAAAAATATTTGTTGGAAGTCTCAACTTCCCCCTCTGCCTCAAATCAAAAGGAACTCATTTATCTGAAAACCACCTGAGCCTAGAAAATTGAAGGAAGAACTGTCTGTAAAATATTTCTTTTTTTTAAAAAATATATCTTTATTGATTTCTCATGAGAGAGAAAGGGAGAAGGGAGGGAGAGAGATAGGAAGATCAGTGATGAGAGAGCTATTGATCAGTTGCCTCCTGCACGCCCCAACTGAGGATCGAGCCCGCAACCCGGGCATGTGCCCTGACCGGGAATTGAACCACGATCTCCTGGATCCTAGGTCGACACTCAGCTTCTGAGCCACTCCCGGCTGGGCTATAAAATATTTCTTAAAATATATCTTACTGGTCTTTTCATCAAGATGTAGCATGGTTTTAGTCCTGCTCCAAAAACAGTTTGGCTGAAAATTATTTTGGTACATGTGTTTAGCATAGATAGTTTTTAATGTTTAAGCTTGTTTGTGTGTGTTTTTTAAAGTTTTGCCAGTATAATCTTAATGGGCAGAGGGACATGATCTCCCATCTGACTAGCTCTTTTTCCCCAGAAAATTTCTGCCCCATGGTAGATGCAAAGGCTTAATTGCTGGGACATGTGCCTGAGAATTGGAAATTTTGACCTTTCCTTGTATTCATGCACTCATACCCCTCACCCCATTAAGTTATTAGTAGATTTATTTATTCATTTTTCAAGTATTTACTGGGCATCTATTAAATACCAGGTGCAACCATGAAGGTAGATATGCCTCAGAACTCTGCCTCATGGACTCCTGTTCTAGAGGTAAAAACAGGCGTGTTATGAAATAAGTGCAAGTATTTAGCACAGGTCCCCGCAACAGGTAGGGCCTCGCAGTGGGAGGGGTCGCTTGTTGAGTTCTCCAAGTGATGACCTTTCCTCCCCAAACCTGCCAGCATTTTCCGTGTCTCTCTCTGCCCTCAGACCTGCACAGGGACCTCGTCTAACCTTGATTCGTGTTGTTTCTAGCTCCTTGGATTTGTGTACATCCTCTAGCAAGTTCTTTGGTGGCAGGATTCATATCTTAGCCCCATGGTGCACCAGGGCTAGAATCACCCTGTAGGACACTTGCTTCATGATGCCAACAGATCACCCACAATCTCCCTGCCTCAGTTTCTCTGTGGCAAAGGGGAAAAGGAAAAGCTTCTAGTGAGCCTCCTTGTTTTATTACTGTGGTTATGACACAGAACACATTTTGCATTTCTTATGTACACAGCACATAGCTATGTTTGTGTTCAGTTTTAAATAACGTCTGTAACAGCTTTATTGAAACAATTCATATGCCATATAACCCACCCTTTGAAGGTGTACAATTCCGTGGTGGTTCCTATATCTACAGAATTGTGCAGCCACCACCACAAACAGTCTTGGAAGATTTGTAGGACCCCACCACCAACTGTTGTGGCCCTAGGCAGCCACTATGTACACTCTATCTCTCTGAATTTGCCTATTCTGGACATTTTATAGACATATAATGAAGCAGTGGGTGTTATTTGTGATTGGCTCTTTCCATTTAGGATAATGCTTTCAGTGTTCATCAGTATTGTAGTGTGCATGAAATCAGAATTTCTTTTCCTTTTGTGGCTAAGTAATATTCCATCTCATTCATTTATTTATATATATATATGTATATAAAATTCACATATATATATATTTCATTTTATTTATCCATTTATCCTTTGATAGACAGTTGGGATATTTCCTCTTGGGGCTGTTTGAATATTGACTAATGAACGTATGTATGGAAATTTTTGCGGGGACACAGGGTTTATGTTAGGAGTGAAACTTTTAAGTTACTTGGCTTTTTGAGGAACTGCCACACTCTCAAAGCTGCTGCGCCATTTTAATCTTTTGGGGCAATTTATGGGGAAGTGCTCTCGGGTTTTACAAATGGACTGGCAGCTTTGTACAGAATGAGGTGAATTCAGCCCCTGCGTTACGGCCTGACTTCTGCTCTGTTCTGTCTGTTGTGTGCAGTTTTCAGGCGAGAACGCGGAGCGCTTGAAGAAGACATATGGCAAGTTTTGTGGGCAGCACAACCAGTCTGTGAGCTACTTCAAAGACCTTTGTACCAAGGATAAGCGTTTTCAGGCCTTTGTAAAGGTATTGACCTGAAACACGAATGTCCCTGTCACTATCCAGAGCGTCATGCCACTGTCGATTTAGCCGGAGACTTCCTCCGGTGGTGGGCAGGTCCTGACTGGTCGTTTGCTCCCTTGCAGAAGAAGCTGAGCAGTTCAGTCGTGCGAAGGCTTGGAATCCCAGAGTGCATATTGCTGGTAACCCAGCGGATCACCAAATACCCTGTTTTGTTCCAAAGAATATTGCAGTGTACCAAAGGTGAGTCTCCTTTTCCAGGCAGCCTATGGAGGGAGCTCTCTTTCCTGCTCTAGTGGGTCCAAAAGAGACCCTGGGCTTTATCTTAAAAACTGTGGCGTTTGTTTTTCTAATGAAAACTTGAAACACTATGTCAGCAGAATTAGGGTGGATGATAGCAACAAGGGAAGGAACCACTTACTGACTCCAAGAGTTCAGTGACTTGGGCACATTCCCTCCCCCCCCCCAAGCTCCAAGGGCCCTTCTTTGGCCTCTGTAACTTGTTTCCTTGAGCCCATTTCTTCTACAACTCACATCTACCTCTGTGACTTTCGAAGTAAATTTTCTCTCGTAGTTTGCAGGGCAGGGAAAATAGTTCAGTGATCTGAGTAACTTCTCCCTTGTCACTAGACCGGGTGGTGATTGCCACTGGTTCTTCCTGTCAGTGCTAGAATTGCTGCTCTGCCTCATTCACTCGTACTTGCCAGTTTCTCTCCCGGCTAATCCTGCCTGTAGGCCCTTACAGTGAAGATCAAGTACAACAAAGATAAACAAGAAACTTTCTCTCTTCTTCCTCCCTGAGGATTAAACTTACGCCCAAGAGAGGGATAGGCATGTGACCTTTGGTCTGTGGGTGTTGCTGTGACAGTGTGCCTATTTGGGGGGGCGGGGGTTCGGTGGCACGGAGGAGAGGGCAGGACCCCTCCTGCTTTGTGCCTGAAAGGCCCCAGTGACAGCAGGCTTCTCCTTTCCTCCTAAGAAAACGAGGTGGAGCAGGAGGACCTGGCTCAGTCCCTGAGCCTGGTAAAGGATGTGATTGGGGCTGTGGACAGCAAAGTGGCAAGTTATGAAAAGAAAGTACGTCTGAATGAGATTTACGCAAAGACAGACAGCAAGTCGATCATGAGAATGAAGAGCGGACAGATGTTCGCCAAGGAGGATCTGAAGCGGAAGAAGCTGGTGCGGGACGGGATCGTGTTTCTGAAGAACGCGGCGGGCAGGTTGAAAGGTGAGCCTGACGTTTCCTCCGAGCCTGAGCAGGTGCCAGAGGACAGCAGGGAAAAGCCAAATATTTTTGTTAAAAACTCACCACCAGGTTTTTCCCAGGGAGCCCATATCCAAATATCACTCAGGAGCACAACCATCATTTAATTGTTCTTAATCTTGTATCAGAACAGACCAGTTTGAGAGAGCTTATACAATCATGTAAATTCAGCAAGTTTATAAGGAAATGTAGTCGGGAAAATGGAAAAGAAGATTTTAAGAAACAATGCAAGGGGTAAGATTAACACAGAAACACAAGAGAAGGGAACAGGTTTGGGATTGGGATCTCTGGCAAAGCATTTGCATGGAGGGAAACACCCTCAGACAGTTCAGAGTCTGAGATTAGAAATATGTACATCACTGTTACAAAGAGATGATAGAGGGATTTTTAGCTCCTGAGACCTTAGCGAAATGTAACATTAACTCATATCAACTAGATTTATTAAACTTTATTATGTTCATACTTCTAAGCAAGAGAGATCATAAAACATTTGTTTTTAATTTGGTTTCAATTTTTAGTTTTCAGATGATTAGCTATATCAAGGTAAGGAAGTTATGAGGTTTGTTAATTCATCTGTACATTTGATTTAAAAAAAAAAAAAAAATAATTGTTTTCATCAAACCTGTAACTCTCTGGGCCTGTATGGCAGCTCTGACTTCACCTGTGACCTTGAGTGTACCCAGTCTCCTCCCTGGCCTCTGCGCTGCCAGTGCGCGCCCCCCCCCCCC